TTGGGTTTGTTTAATAGTGCGTAGGATAATAATGCTGAGTCATAAATCTCTCAAAGTTCACACATTGCTTTTAGTGCTATGGAAACGTGTCTTGGGTTAATTAAGCTGCATAATTGCTTTGTGATAAATACTTTATTTGTTTTTGAACTGGTGGTCAGGTTCATTAATCTTGTTTACTGTATAATACAAGCTTGACTGATGTGCTGTCTGCATTAACTCTTGAGTTGGTGTAGGCTTGTGTGTTTTCGGATGAACAAGGGTCTACAATCAACAAAAACTAGCTTCACCATCATGAAATTTGATGTTTTGACCTTTTTCTTGTATACAAAGATCATGAATTGTCCACATGCGATGGCTAGTTGTTGTAGTATCTCGAGTTATAGTGTTTATTTAGGACGGGTCTGTGGAGGGCAGCAGTACCTGGCAGGCTGCTTCAGGCAAACACTGTCACATTAACTTTCTAACACAAACGGTTCATTTCCTCATAGACTTCCTGTCACTGTCAGTGCACCTTAAGCTATAAATCAATCCAAACACACACTGACATTTACAAAGCCTCAATTCTTTAATGTTTGGGAATGATTTAGAAAAGTTAATTAATGGAATAGCAGTGTTTATGACTGGGCACGCTACTTTTAAAAGTGATGTCAAATATTTAGCATTACTCTTTATAATAATTACATAAAGCTGCCGCTGACCCAGAGAGAGCAGTTGGCATGTACAGTATAGGTATGAAGCAGCTTCACAAATTATACAATACTTCAGATTATCACTTGGATTATACTTGGATAAAAGTTTATAGTTCGGATATCAACACTGAGGTTTACGGTAGCAATCATCACAGAGTAAATCACATTTGAATGTAACAAAGCTTCAAATAAAGACTTTTAACCGTAAAAACGGTTTTACTTATCATTGAATCATTCATTGAAATGGCACCTTTTATGCAAAATTCGCTTTTAGATGGTGTTTAAGCACCAATATATGTACACAACCACCCTATAATGATACAAATCCACCAAGTGCTTTAAAAAAAATAAAAAATAATTATAAGCACTGTCTCAGAACAAGCCGTTAACAGATTCAGGGCAAAAGTGACGTACTTTTGCACAAGCCCCTCCCACGACGATTGACTGACACTGCAGATTTAGCATAGACCCGCCCTGAGTGAGCTAAACAACACAGTCCGCCATTGTTTCGACACCGGAGCAACTGTACACAAGAATGTCTCGTAAGCAACTCGGGTAGGGATGCACTGATATGAAGATTTTGGCCGATAACCGATAATTCTTTATATTTGAAAGCCGATAACCGATATATCGGCCGATTAAATCTAAATCCAATTTTTATAGAATTTTTGAAAGCCTGATTTCAAAAACAAAAGTCTCACAATTAAAATCCGTCCCCTAACACAATTGTTATGTTCTCATTATAATTTCATGTAGCCGATATGACGGCACATTTAACTATATTTTCCTTTTTGATTCCAATCATATTTCAAGCAATTAAGATCAATCATGTTGAACAGTGCGCATCTTAAGTGTCTCTAGGAAATAATTCATTATTTATCAGCTTTAATATATCAGCCAAATTTTATTATCGGGCCGATAACGATAACATGAAAATGAGCAAATATCGGCCGATACCGATATGGTGGCCGATATATCGTGCACCCCTAAACTCAGGTGTTTTGTTGTATGGAATAGTGAACATGAGTCTAAATGTACTCCTGACATCACCTGGTATTTTATTTTTAAGGGAATACGCCCCCATATACCTAAATTCGTTTGTCTGCTTTGTGAACGAGGGGCAATACAAAACAGGTTTTGCTAAAAAGTTGTCATTCAAAGATGGATCAGTACGAATCTGTCCGTGATCCAGCTTACAGTCTTTGGAGTGATAGGCCTAACGTTACTGGTCACTAGGGTTGGGTATCGTTTGAATTTGAGCGATTCTGATTCCGATTCCTTGTTTCGATTCCGGTTCCTAACGATTCTCGATTCCGATTCTTTTAAGAGGCAGGGTCAAAAAAGTTTAGCTAACCAACGGTCTTTCTGAAGGAAACAATCCTTTCTGAAGGGAATACTCCTTTTGTCACAAATTTTGCATTTTGCCGAGATTTCGTTATTTTTAGAAAAGTGAAGCCACACTTTGGACCGCCGACGTAAGCTACTCATGTTCGACTCGCGCGGTTATGCCAACACTTCCGGTAGACGCTTCTTCCTTGGTGTTGTTCAGTGGTTTCTTCTTCCGCTCGGCAGACTGTGAATATCGAAACTAGGAATCGAAATTTTAACTTTTGAGCGATTCCGGGAAAAAACGAAAAGTTAGTCCCGGTTCCAATCGATACTCGATTCTCGATACCCAACCCTACTGGTCACAGCAGTAATTTAAGGGAGAGCGCTCATTTTATTACAGTTAATCAGAGTTGTTTTACGGATATAAAGTCTACCAGTTTATTCAGCACCCCCTGAAAATGCATAAAGTCAGTATATATTTGTTAACTGTTAGTTGTAACGATTGTTTTGGTGCAATTCGCTGTGTATGTTGATGATAATGAAAGGGAGAGATGGTGAGTTTATGGATAAGACTTTAATGCGCACTTCTTGTACTGTGTATTCAGCTCTTACAGAGATTTTCTGGAGTGTAAACGGACGCTTCATCTTTTGTGTGATGTACAATAAACTTCATAAAACTCATCAGTAAAGTTTAAAGGTCCGCTACAACAGGCTTGTATAGTGGATAAAAGCAAGGTGACAAAGTTGTTACTGTAATTAAACTATTCAACTGTTCTGTCTCCATACAGAATGTATTCTCTGGCTCTGTGGGCATTATTGTCCGACTCTGGACATTTTTTACGCGCGTAACGCGTCTTTGCATTGACTTAACATTGAAATCATTCGCGCCTGGCGCGTTATTCGCGTCCGGTGTGAACGTAGCATAAGCCAGATTTCAAACCATTCCTTGAGCCTTCTCATCACTTCACATAACCAGAATATTCATTTCAGCTTCCTGTACGAATACAGCGTGGTTCACACAACATTAGCTCTGTTGTTACTGCTTTTAATGCTTGACCGCCTGAATCTCCATTAGCTGTTTGCTAATTTAACCAGGAGAGTGCAAAAAAGTAATTCAGATCCACATTATGTAACTAATTAAGTTGTGCCAGTCTACTGAGCTCATAATTCATGTTCAGTTATTAGATTTCAGTTCACCACCTTTTTCTCTGACTTTCATGCTTGGCTTTTCTCTTTTTTTATGTAAAATGAATACGCCAAACCATCACAATAAAGTATTGGTGGGACCATGAATCAGTGGGATGCCATGATAATGAATGACCTTATCATTGAAGTATCTAAAGAATCGCATGATACGTTTTGGTACTTTTTTGCCAGGAGCTTCAAACTTTATCAGATGTTTTAAAGTGTCTGGTGAACAATTAATCTCTACACAAATATAACGGGCCACCTATGCAAAGTATTCCCAATGCTTTATCTAAATTGATGTTCTTTATCTCTCCTCTAAAACCAATTGAGCTGTATTATGGATTTGTTTTTCAATACTTATTTATTAGAATTATTTATAATCAATTTTATTCTCAACTCATCAGGAATCTTGAATATTTTTTTTTTTTACAGTGCACTCTTATAGTACCTTGAATGGCAGAAATATTTATGCTATTGGGTAAATTGGCAGTGGGGATCATACAGACCATAACAAAAGCGCACTCTGAGACGAAACGCAAATTTCAAAGTAGAATAACTGGATGTAGAATTGATTTTCTTTTACATTCTTTAGAAATGTTGGCCCATATTGATAGGATAGCATCTTGCAGTTGATGGAGATTTGTGGGAAACACATCCAGGGCACGAAGCTCCCGTTCCACCACATCCCAAAGATGCTCTATTGGGTTGAGATCTGGTGACTGTGGGGGCCATTTTAGTACAGTGAACTCATTGTCATGTTCAAGAAACCCATTTGAAATGATTCGAGCTTTGTGACATGATGCATTATCCTGCTGGAAGTAGCCATCAGAGGATGGGGACATGGTGGCCATAAAGGGATGGACATGGTCAGAAACAATGCTCAGGTAGGCCGTGGCATTTAAACGATGCCCAATTGGCACTAAAGGACCTAAAGTGTGCCAAGAAAACATCCCCCACACCCTTACACCACCACCACCAGCCTGCACAGTGGTAACAAGGCATGATGGATCCATGTTCTCATTCTGTTTACGCCAAATCCTGACTCTACCATCTGAATGTCTCAACAGAAATCGAGACTCATCAGACCAGGCAACATTTTTCCAGTCTTTAATTGCCCAATTTTGGTGAGCTCTTGCAAATTGTAGCCTTTTTTTCCTATTTGTAGTGGAGATGAGTGGTACCCGGTGGGGTCTTCTGCTGTTGTTGCCCATCCGCCTCAAGGTTGTGCGTGTTGTGGCTTCACAAATGCTTTGCTGCATACCTCGGTTGTAACGAGTGGTTATTTCAGTCAAAGTTGCTCTTCTATCAGCTTGAATCAGTCGGCCCATTCTCCTCTGACCTCTAGCATCAACAAGGCATTTTCGCCCACAGGACTGCCGCATGCTGGATGTTTTTCCCTTTTCACGCCATTCTTTGTAAACCCTAGAAATGGTTGTGTGTGAAAATCCCAGTAACTGAGCAGATTGTGAAATACTCAGACCAACAACCATGCCGCGCTCAAAATTGCTTAAATCCCCTTTCTTTCCCATTCTGACATTCAGTTTGGTGTTCAGGAGATTGTCTTGACCAGGACCACACCCCTAAATGCATTGAAGCAATTGCCATGTGATTGGTTGATTAGATAATTGCACTAATGAGAAGTTGATCAGGTGTTCCTAATAATCCTTTAGGTGAGTGTATGTGGGCAGCTCATTGGGTTCTGGAAAGAATCCACTTTTATTTGAAGGAAGATTTTGTGAGCTCAACTCTTATAGGTTATCTGACTTTTGTTTTGTTTGATTTTGTGTTTAATAGAGTCTCCTGAAGCCGATGCAGTGATGGACGTGGGCTCGGCAGAACCTCTGGAATCTGAAGTTCTGTATGACTGTGTGATCTGTGGTCAAAGCGGCCCGTCCACTGAAGACAGGCCCACAGGACTGGTGGTACTGCTGCAGGCTTCTTCAGGTATCACACACTTCAGCATCAACACCAGCAATGTAGCAGTGTCTATATCAACAATGGCTAAGTGGATTTTAGGCCAACTTTAAAGTGGATAACATCAGGGCTTCAAGTAATGAAAAATAATGTCATTTCGGTGATCAGAGATGAGTTTTAAGGGATTCAGTTGTTGCCTACAGGGGGACTTTAGGTTTTGTCTACTGAATGATCAACACCCATGATTAATTGATTTGTATAGTGCTTTTCAGAATAGATATAAATATGTTAAAGCAGCTGAAACTATATGTACTGAACATCACTAGCTTTTTTTATTTGCAAAGTCTCTATATCGCCACTAGGACTGTGTAGCTTTACTGCTTTCCGTCTGCAGGTTCAGGTTGTGGTCCAGATCACTGGAGCTCTTTAACTGTGCATTAAACCACCCATGAGTTTACATTCACCCTCTTTACTCTACTTGTTTTAACAACAATGTTTTAATTGCTTCTGTGACTTCTCAGCTGGTGCTGTGATCAAATTAGCATTGTGTTTTATGAACTATCACTGGTCTTTGATTTGTCTGTTATGTGACTTTAGTAGTCTTAAAATGTCTCAAGGCTCTGTAGTGAAAATCAACAGTACTTTGAGATTTGATGGACTAACAAGCGTCTGTTTTTAATATTTATTGCTTCATATTCAGAATGGCAGGGTTTAGGGTCAGCAAGCATCGGCATGACAGATTCATAAGGGTTTTGACTTTGACGTGGTATTTCATTATAGTATACAAATGGTGAGTGCCATATATTTGATGATGGCAGCAAATTTAACATGATTAGCATTTCTGTATCAAGAGTGTGTGTGTGTGTGTGTATTTCAGTGTTGGGGCACCGTTGTCGTAGTGACACGCCAAAGCGATTGCCCACAACAGATGAGGAACACATCTACCCCGAGGACACATGTGGAGCGACCAGTGATGTTAGACTGACCCTTATGCAACGCTACTTTAAAGATGTATGTGATATATATATAACTCAAAATAACTACTCTATAACACACTAACAATATAAAACTCAATTTGAAACATCTCAAACATCTTTGTTCCGGCATATAAGTGCAATATGACTGCATTTATCCATTCTATTTTATTTTGTTTGAGAGGCTAAAATGTTTTTTTAAATGCACAACATGCTTTCATACAGGTACAACCTTATTATGGTTCCACTCACATGCTTTAATAATGCAGTATCCCACAAGAGGCCAATCAATTAGTGTGGTTACCTCCGTAAAGGTTTGTTAGGCACAGTTTGACATGGTAAAATAATTTCTCATGCGTCATATTGCTTTTAAGTCAGTGTGTTTCTGGATCCCATTGACTTGCGTTGTATGGACGAATGCCACTCATTAGGTCATGACTGATGTTCTGAAGTTTCTCTTTTTTTCCCATTTTCTCAATTTGCCAGAGTTCCTGTCTGCAGTCTGTGTCTGTTGGCTGGGACGGGGGTGTGTATGTGCAGACGTGCGGACACACTCTTCATATAGACTGTCACAAGTCCTACATGGAATCCTTACGGGTGAGAATCACTACAAAGAGCTATAGCTGATCAAGCCATTTATCACGCATTTGGAACAGTCTTACCATAGTTAAGGAAAGTATATGTGCACGGTGACCCCAATCTCACAGCCCACCTAGCATCTGAACAGCTCTTAAATGATTTAACTCAACAGATGATTCTGGAATCAATGATCCAGCTGTCTAATATAAAGTGGCTTCTGATCTAGTGTCTGTCAAGACTGGAGTTTGACTCCCCTGTCAGAGACATATTCAGTATTCACCGTTCACACACTGTGTCAGCTGTATTCCAAAACTCTATTCATCATTTATGAAAATGTCCCATGGCACCGGGGCCTTGTGAACCACAGACTCTAGAGTGGAGGAACTGTCTTCATTGACTGTTATACATAAAGACTATTGGTTTATCTACTGTCTTGTCTGCTAAAAATGAATTTTAAGGATTCATTTAGTTGTACTTGTGTTAAATTTAGTTGATACACAAGTTAGTATGTTTAACAATACTTATAAGATCTTGATCTTGAGTTCAGACTCTGATCTGTCATATTAGAGGTCCATCCACCACTGTGTTTCTTCTCAACTGAACTTTTGAGAGGTGTGTGTTGTGCTTTTGCTATTAAGTGCAGTCTGACATCACCATCTGCTTAATAATCTGTGACATGAGCATTGGCACGTGGAGAAAGAGAATTATGGCTAGAATTTAACTCTAGAATTATGAGCACTTTAGTCTCAGCCTCAGGAGATGTACCCAAACCCCCAAAACCGATGCATATTACACACAAAAATTCTCAGAACAGTAAATATGATTCTGATATAGTTGTGGTTGTGGCCATCAATGATGGGTTTATATATATATATATATATATATATATATAAACATATATATTATGTTTGACGGAGACTTGGCTAAATTTGCCTCGGGCTTCTGGGGTGGTTTGGCAAACATATTTAATTGTTGTTTTCTTCACACCAGAGTGTTTCTGCCATACCAGTTTTGAACTGCAATTGTTTAAACTAAACATTACATAACCAATTGTTTGTGCAGTAATATATCAGCCTCCTAAATATAATAAGGAGTTTTCAGACTTTGTAGGTGAGATTTGTTTAAAATATGATTCATTTTTAATTGTGGGAGATTTCAATGTGCATGTTTGTTGTCCACCCAATGCGCTGGCAAAATATTGTTATGGATATGATTGACTCTTTTAACCTCAAACAACACATTTCTGGATCCACTCATGTTCATGGACATACCTCTGTTGGGGATGTTAAAGTTCACAATTTAGCCATCTCTTATGATATGCCTGTTACTTGTACTGTAACTCTCCCTTGTGTCATTCATAATACCTCATTACCAATTCGCCAGGGCCAGAAGTTAAATTCAGTCAATATTGAGCATTTTAAAAATGCACTAATTGAATCTCATATAAATTTTACTTTGGAGAGCCCTTTACATTCAGATGTGAATATTTCACTTGATGCATTTAATTCTGTATGCTTTTCTATCCTAAATTCAATTGCTCCTCTGACGGTTTAAGAGTGTTAAGGCCAAACCAGAACCTTGGCTAATTGAGGTTACTCGGAGCTTGAGGCGTGCTTGTTGGAAAGCGGAGCGTGGGTGGTAGAAGGATAAATTACAAGTGTCATATGATATACTACGCACACAAGTCTTTATCTACCTGCCAGAATGCAGTCAAGTCAGCTAAGAGAAAATATTTTGCTGATCGAATCTTAAGGTTCCACTGTACTCCTAATATTTTATTCAATACAATCAATTCAGTGCTAAATCCCATTACTACATGTCCTGTTTTGTCCACCATTTCATCAAAATCGATCACATGTTATACCTGGTTCATATGATCCCATGTTTACTTGTTTCACCTATGCTGTATTTGAACAATTTTCTCCTATTTCTTTTCATTATAGGTTCGTGGGCAGTTAAAACCTACAAATTGTGGCCATGATGTCATTACATATAGATTTAATTAAGCTTACTTCTGATATTAGTATATTGACCTTAATTAATAGAAGTTTCAAAACAGCAGTAGTTCCAATGGATTTTAACCCTTATGCTGCATTAGGGACATTTTTGGTCTTTTGCAGTTTAATTTCTTTGACCATTTTGGCTGTTTTAATGCAAATGGTATGAAATTTGGCAAAATTGTGACTTTTTGGATACATGTAAAAAATGTGATCCCATTTTGCAAAATATGTATAACACACACTGTGTAGATCAAATAGTAACACTCAGCACCATAAAGACCAAAAATGGCCCATTGAAACCCATTAAAACGTTGTTTAAATCTGAGGCTGTCAGTAATACATGAAACATGATTTTTGCACAAACATCCTTTCATTTTGAAGCAAAAGCATTATATTTGCATTATATAGTGTATTCCACCAGATGACGTCACTACATATTTATTCCCTATGGGTGGAAATGCACCTTATTTTAGGCAATAGGCAATGTTTAATAGGTGGCCATTTTTGGTCTCTAACGCGCTAAGTGGGATTTTTTGCAAAGTGGGACTGTGATAATCCAAATCTAAAGTTTTCTCTTTGCATTTAGTTTATTGAAAATAATTGAATTTTTGTGTTTTTTCCTCTTATACAAATCGATGGTTTCGCAAACAAAACTGGTAATTAAAGGGTTAAAATCCTGAAATTGAATACATTTTTGGTAGTTATGATGAGGACTGATGCTGGTTAAAAGATTTAACTTGGTAAAAGTGGAAAATAATAATAATATATAATATTTTAGGCAATGTTTAATATGTGGCCATTTTTGGTCCTTAATGCACTCAACGGTGTTAAAAATCTAATGCAGCACAAGGGTTAAGTATGCTATTGTACAGCCTCTTTTGAAGAAAACAAATTTGGATCCAAATGTTTTATCTAATTACAGGCCAAATTCTAAACTGCCATTTTTCTCAAAACTTCTTGAAAATTCGCATTAAACCAATTGCAGACTTTTCTAGTTCAAAATGAGTTTTTGGAAAATTTACAGTCAGGGTTTAGATCGAATCATACAGAAACGGCCTTGTTGAAAGTTCTAAGGCCGTGTGTCCACCAAAGCGTTTTTAGCCAGCTGAAAACGCTAGACGCTCTGCTGAAGACGCCGTGCATTGGGCGCTTGAGAGCGTTTTGGCAGCGCAGCGTTTTTTTCCGTGTAGACGTTTCGTTGCTATGATACAGAATATCCGCAGCAGTTTGAATGTTGACAGTTGGTCGGTGTGGTGTTAGTCCCGCCCCTCCTCCACTGTGATTGGACGGCTGGGTAAAAAGTGACCGTGATGAGCGCTGCGTTTTATCCAAAGTTGAACATTTTTCAACTCCCAGCGACCAGTAAAAACGCCGGGCGCTCGGCGCTTCAGCGTGAAAAAAACGCTGAAAAACGCGGCGCTCCCATTGAAAACAATTGAAAACATACGCCGGGCGCGTGGAAAAGCGCTTTGGTGGACACACGGCCTATATGATATCTTATACCATGGTCTGGGTGAATACTCGATTCTGATTGGCTGCTGGGTGTCCGTTAAAAAGTGATAGAGGACACCTAGTAAAGTAGTTCTGGTGAAACTGCCTGTTTACCATTCGAAATGAATAAATAAATGCGCTGCCCACAACGGCTGTGAGTAACCATAGCAACAGGCAGTCACATGCTCTAGCTCTATCATCTAACGTTAGATATTATAGCCTAATACAACAATGAGCGACTTCGTGCTATTTCTTTTAACATTTATGGAGAATATGGCAACTTTGACGACTGGTATGCTGCTGAAGAAAGAAAAAATGTAAATAAAACGGAGGAAATTACACGGCTGCTGCGCTGCTCCATTGAACTCTATTGGTAACGACGTAACTTGCGACCATAGTTGGATAACGATGCTTTCGGGAAACGCACCCCTGAATGAGACCCTGCGGGAGTTTTACGCAGCTGTCCAGACAACCAAGGCAGGAGAAGGCTGAACGTTACAGCGTTTCAAGCCTAAGGAGCCTGAGGCAAATGACCCTCTCTTTGATCTGATTAATTTATTGCCCTCTATAACGTTAAGCGCAAATCGCTGGAGCTCAGAGCTAATTGTTTTTTTATTGTTGTTTGATTAATTGTTTTATGTGTAATAAAAAAAAAAAACTATGCCTACCTTTTGTGTTTCATGAAAAAAAAATACATTTGTGAACCTGAAGGGATACGAGCTAAGCGGACTATAAATATCTCCGGTTGCTAAATAAACAGTCAGGCAATGCAAGTTATTATTTGTAAAAACTAGATTTAGCCTAATTAAAATATAAACTAATGTTTTAAAAATGTTTTATTTGGCAAGTGACCATGGTATAAGCGGGTTAATGCCCTCCGAGGTGTCCATTGTCAGGTTTTAATGGACCTCCGCTGCGCGTCGGCCGGTTTACGCCTCGCCGTCGTCCATTAAAACCTGACAATGGACACCTCGTCGGGCATTAACCCTTACTTGATTGATTCTGTCAGCTCAGTGGTTTTAGTGTTACTAGATCTTCGTGCAGCATTTGATACCATTGATCACAATATGCTAGTATCCCGCCTAGTGGGAATTCCAGTGGGAAGTCAGGGCATGGCACTCGATTGGTTCAAATCCTTCCTCTTTAATAGGATGTTTTTCAGTTAATTTTGCTCAGCATTATTCGAAAATGGCTAGTGGGGTTCCACAAGGATCCATTCTTGGCCCAATTTTGTTTTCATTATATATGCCTTAGGTTCTATTTTTCATTGACAATGACACTCAGTGACACTCAGGTGCATTTACCTTTGCGTTAACAGGACAAAAGTTATTTTGAGTCACTATTGAGATTTTTACAGTTGGATGTCACAACATTTTCTGAATGTACTGTAAGTAAAACTGAAATAATCTGGTTTGTGGCCCCTGACACTCAAAACTCTTGACTTGGGTGAGTTAGCCCCTTTCTGTAAATCTGTAGTGAAGAACCGTGATTTTGAAAGGATTATTCATGCTTTTATTTCTGAAAGAGTCGATTATTGACTCACTATATGTGGGTGTTAGCCAATCACTGTTAAACCATCTTCAACTGGTTCAAAATGCGTCTGCTCAACTTTTAACAGGCACTCGTAAAAAGCAGATATTGATTTTTGTATATAAAGCATTGCATAACTTGTCCCCACCACGCTACATAAGTGCACCAGGACTAAATGTTTTGGTGTCCACAAGTGTGAACGCATCTCAAGCTACAACGTGGACCAGACTTTTACGCTAATAGTCGAAAGTCTGTCTCTATAAGAGGATATATGGAAGTGTTATGCCTGCTTCAAACCTAACCGTGTGTGTTTGTTCCACAGAATGATCAGGTTCTTCAAGGGTTTTCTGTGGATAAGGGTGAGTTCACCTGCCCACTGTGTCGTCAGTTCGCCAACAGTGTTTTGCCCTGTCGTCCTGGCCGTGGGATGGAGACGGGCGCCTGGCACACCCCCAGTAACAAGAGCCTATCCACACTGGTGAAGGAAGTGGAGGACCTTCAGGAGCAGCTGGGCATTTTCCCAGTAAGCGCCAGCGTAAAGCAGAGAGATCCCATACTGGTATTTATAAGAGCACTCTCCCCTCCCCTCTTTTCTGTTCTGTTCATCTCATCCCTCCATCCTGATTCAGAGTATGGACTGGTGTCTTCACCTCCATGTGATCTTTCATGCCCCACCAAATATTGCTGGGGTTTAACATCTCATAACACAAAATCTGTGTCATTAAACTCGCGCCTTCACAAAGCTGGTGTTTTTTCCTTCCTCGCAGGCGGAGTCCAACCTGAGTAAAGAGATGGAATCCGTTATAAAGGACATTAAAAACACAACACAGAAAAAATACATGGATTATGGGAAGAACCCAGGGTCACCTGACAACGACTTCCTGTTCATGTACTCCGTGGCCAGGTGAGAAAGCATCTATTTAAGACGTATATTGCACAGTTTTTCCACTTTTGTTTCATGGGTCAGTGTTTTTTAATCTAAGCTTCTTTGTATATATCCGTTTTGTATACTTGTACTTTTTCCCCCATTGTTCCATTCATCCATTCTTTCTTAGTTTCTTTTGTTTGTTTGTATCGTTCAGTGTTTAGTTGGCTTGTTCTTCCCTTTCTTGAATATTTCACTGTTTGTTCATTTCTTTTTGGTTCATTTGTTTTTCCCCCTTTTTTCATTTGTTCTATTGTCTACTCTCTAATTCTTTCTTGCTGTCTTTTCTGTGTTCCATTATTTTACTTGTGTTGTTCATTCTTTAGCTTTTAAAGAATGCCTTAGCATTAAAATGTATTTCAAGGTTTTATAAGGAATTGTAAAAGGATGTCAAAACTCAAAAATCCAGTTTCTTTCAGAGCTGCTCTAGTCCACATGTTGACTTACCCTCTCTCTTTCTTTCTCAGGACTAATCTGGAGTTAGAGTTGGTTCATCGTGGGGGGGATCTGTGCAGTGGGGGGGCTAGTGCTGCCGCCAAACGCTCCTGTCTCAGTGAGTTTCTCTCTTTTTGTTTTAGTTTAATGTTTGTTGGATATATTTTGTTTTGCTTTTTTTTTTGCGTTTTACATCCTGATTGGACTCACAAGCCTTTATGATTTATATTTTTCAACGGAACTTGCAAAACAGTGCTGTGCGCTCAATGCACTCATCGTATGTAATGTATATATATATATTAGGGCTGTGCAAAAGTTAATTGCGATTAATCGCATCCAAAATAAAAGTCTGTTTTACATAATATATTTGTGTGTGCTGTATATAATTATTTTGTATATATAAATACCTATGCATGCATGCATATATTTAAGAATTATTTGCTCTTAAATTCTGTATATATATATATAAATACATAATCTATATTATATAAATATAAATATTTTATATAGGAATAACACATTTTCTTAAACATATACATGCATGTGTGTGTATTTATATATACAAAATAATTATATACAGCACACACAAATATATATGTAAACACAGACTTTTATTTTGGATGCGATTAATCGCAATTAACTTTTGCACAGCCCTAATATATATATATATATATATTAGTGCTGTCAAACGATTAAAATATTTAATCGCGATTAATCGCATTAATGTCATAGTTAACTCGCGATTAATCGCATTAATTGCACATTTTTATCTATTCTAAATGTCTTTTGATTTCTTTTTGTTACATTATTTTTTTCTCATTTTAATGCTCTTGTCAACATGAAAAAGTGGATTGTTTAGTACAAATGTTTATTTTTTATTTTTTATTATTATTATTATTGAAAATAACATTGGAATAGTGCTCAATTTCACCCTAACATATAAATAATCTCTCACACAATGTAACACTGTCCATCAATAAAAGGGTCAAAGAAATACTGACGAGGTCTTGATATTGATGAGGGGGCGGAGAATTCGCATCATCTCTGTGTGTGTGTGTGTGTGTTTGCTTGGCCATCATCAAGTGGTGTTTCAGACTGGATGTGCTGCGATGATGATAGCTCAGTTCACAACGACAAAACACAGATCACTTGGTCTTGTCAATGGGACAATTTGGCACCTTTTTAAAAGTAAACTTTCCATTCAGAATCTTAGGGCATCCATTTCGGCGTCTCGCGCTCGTCATCCACTCAAAAGTAACGTTACTATTTGGCCGGCTCGCAAGCCGAAACGAGTGTGTGCAGCACAAAACGTCCTCGCGCTGCTCTCTGAAACGCATTCATTTCAATGGCTTGCACCAGGATGTTTCGTTGCTTCTTCGACCAAAGCGCAAGCGGATCTATACTGTAAACAAAACGACAGGCACGCCACAAACACGTGTCGGCTTGTGAGCCGGCTTTGAGTGGATGACGAGCGCGAGACGCCAAAATGGATCAGGACGCATACCGCGTCCTGTTGCAAAAGCATGTGATAAAACTACAGAGTTTGCTAGGACAAAAAGACCGTTAATAGCGCGATAAAAAAATTAACGCCGTTAAAATGGGTTTGCGTTAACGCCGTTAATAACGCGTTAAACTGACAGCCCTAATATATATACACATATAGTGGTATTTTTTGCCAGTTGAGAACTCATAAAGAGGTCATAAATGTCTAAACAGCGGCAGGAATTCCTCCATTGCACACACTGACACATCTGCTGATTCCAATGCCTGTACTGAACTGTAATGGACAACAATGCAACTATGACGAGAAGAATCAGGAATGCTTAACATTATCGGCCACCAAAATTTGTCCAATTATATTCATTTATTATTTACTTCAGCTGAGACACTTCAGATGCGCATTGTTCACCATGATGATTTTGAATTGCTTGAAATATGATTGAAAATACAGTAAAGTATGACAAATCTGTCAATAATATTCTCATTATAATTTGATATAGTCTGTAATTGTGTGCTCGAGACATGGTCAGACTTGTTTTTTTTATTTAGATTTAGATTAATCGGCCAATATATCGGTTATCGGCATTGGCCAAAATGTTCATACTTTTTAGGATTGCATCTTGTGACATAACGTCCTGCATTTGGTATGGTCAGCCTCGGTCCATTTGTTTGGTAGCAACAGAGCAATCGCACCAGAATTTTTTTAACCGAACCATGTCATATTTCTTTTAAGTATTTTTTTTGCCAGATTGGGTCATTTTGTGATTTTTTCAGCATCTAACAGTACCCACTTGGCAGATGTTGTCCGTTCCCAAATCCATGTCACCATTGATAATTGAAAATAAACTTTTTTTGTGAATTGAGTAAATGTATTAATTTAATGTGTTTTTCATTTGCTTCTCTGTGTATGTCAGGCACACTGCTGTTTAGATATGACGTTGACCTTGTATGTGTCAGCCACTGGTCCTGAACTTATTACACTTTAATTATCTGGAGTAATCTGAAGTTCAGTGTCTTCAATTTAGTGTTCAAGGATACAAAGAGTTCATTGATAAGGGCCTTAAGGGGATTCAACCTTGCAGTTACCAGCCTTGAACCCTTAACCACTACACAAATGAAGTTTCCCAAGTGGACTCTACTGTCCATGATTCAAATGGGAACGGACTGTTCAAATTCAGGAATAGCATGATGGACTGTGGATGATATATTTGTATTTGTATGCCAATGGATTGGATGCAAGGAGAACGTCAAGACTGTAATCGACACACACATCCACACACTGGCTACGTATAAAGTGTGTGTGCAGACTTTGAGCTGTTATGAAAAAAATCCTGACACTCAAGCGCAGCCGAAGAGATTTCACACTCCAGCAAAGCAGCCATTTTCTGTGCTACATTAAACACACATCCATAGAGAGGGCCAGATTTACTCAGTCTCTGTACATTAGCTTAGCAAGAGAACAAGAAAATAGAAAGTATGGGCAAAGAAAGAGAATGTGAGTGTGTGTCCAGATCTCACCGCCATATTGCTAGAGTGGTTGTTAGTAGGGATGTCCTGATCAGGTTTTCAATCAATCCGGTTAATTGAATATTGAGTGTCTACCGAGACCGAGTCCCAATCTGATACTTGTATTTTCTTAGTGTATTAGAGTTCCTCAGAGGCTTGAATGTAAAAAGGGAGATTTATCACTATGGAGTAATTCCAATAGAACAATTAATTACTACAGTAATTATATTTATAGAATTATTATTATTATTATTATTACACACACTGCCATTTCAAAGTTTGGGAACGGTAAGATTAAAAAAAAATAAAAAATCAAAGCTGAATTTTCAGCATCAGTACTCCAGTCTTCAGTGTCACATGATCATTCAGACATCAATCTAATATGTTGAGTTGATACTCAAACATTCCTTATTATTATCAATGTTATAAATAGTTGTGTACAATATTTTTTTTCTTGATTATTTGATTAATAGAAAGTTATAAAACACATTTTTTTCTGAATTAGAAAGCTTTCATAACATTATACAATACTGTTCAAACATTTTTAGTCAATTGTTTTTTTTGGAAATAAATTAATTTTACTCCTCAAGGTGCATTTAAATTGATCAAAAGTGACACTAAATACATTTCTAATGTTATATAAAATTCTATTTCTAATAAATGCTGTTCCTTTGAACTTTATATTCATCAAAGAACAGTTTGTTTCAGTGAGGCATCACATTAAAGGGGTCATGAACTGGCTTTGTAAATTTTATTATATTGTTGTGTTTGGTCTAGTGTTATCACGGTACCAAAATTTCAGTATTCGGTACCAATACCAGTTAAAATTCACGGTTCTCGGTACCAATTTCGGTACCAAAGCTTACTTTAAATTTACATATATTAAAGTGTTTATCACGGTTACAAGTATGGAAACTGTACATTTGTATTATAAACACTTTAGAAAAAGATTAGATAAAATGACCTAAAATAAACAATAGTATACACTAACACATTTTTAAAGTTGTTTGTAAAGTTTTAATCCATTATTTATTTAATGCACAATGAATTAAGTGAACAAACATGAACAATCAGGTGTTTGTAATAAATAACATTTTCAAACATTAATTAATGTTGTAAAAATACAGTATATTGTTCACTCAATGTGTTGATAACTAAGTAATGTTGATGAATGGTATCTTTGTAGCTTTACCATAAAACATGTTTTATTTGACTTGACTGTCCTTTTATTTAATCTAAAACTGCATTCATATTTAATTTTAAAAAGGCTTTTTAAACCTGCTGAGTTATAAAGGCAAGAATACGTCTAGAACTGGCACTGACATTAAATGACAATACTAATACCAGTAGCCTACTCTGGTGTCGGGTGGATACTACTGTGCTCATGTACTCGTAAAACTACCCCGAAAGCACTTTAGAGGCCGTTCACATGTCGCGCGTGTTTTTTTAATTATATTTTTGCGCGTGCTTATTCTTTCCAAAGCACTTGCTCTCACGCGGCGTCTGTCGTTGCTATGCAACGCCAACGAGTTTTTATAATGAGCGCGCTTGAATCGCGCCTATATTTGAAATTGCAAATTTGCATGTAATCGGCCTCTTATGGCAACGTGACATTAGCCTAATCCAAAATATTTCCATATGTGGCTCTTTCCTCCTTTCGTTTCAACAAGTGGATTCAGAGAGAGAGAGCCATATCAGCGTTATAAAGAGGACGCAACTGTGCGTTTCAGACATCGCGTCTAGAACAGAACTGGATTAACCTGGTACTCGGTACCTAGAAAAGCTGGTACCGTAACATTTTTTTTTTTTTTTTTTAGTACCGACTTGGTACCGAAGTACCGAGTTTTTTGACAACACTAGTGTGGTCAATTTATGACGTTCGCTTGGTTTTTGCATTCAAAAACATCCAAATGAATAAGTAATAGGCTATTTTCTACCCTAGTTTTGAACCTAGCTGAAAAATGCTCGGTTTTTATGGGCGTGTCGCACTGAAGACTTGGAAGTAAACGCCCACTGCTGTGAGTGGATAACAGTTTTGCATATTATGATGAGTTTCAACTCACCCGTCGATGCACTTGGGGGAAATTGTTTTGAAAACGTCCAATGTTGTAAATTTGCAACCGGAATGATTCGCCCATACATGTTCGACCCAGAGTCCGTGTGCACCATTCCTGTCAGATCCAATATAGGCGGCAAATAATCTTAATCGGTCTGCAAATACAGTCTCGTTTACAAAACAATCCTCAGTGAAATGAGACGAACAGACGGACAATGTTTTACCTCATCAGCTGGAACGTCATTAAAAATAAAGTTTAAACATTTCTATTGGGATCCAGAAGAAGCTTCTTCCACAACCAGGCACTGCACAATATTTATCGCTCGGTAGCTCGATCCGGTTTGTCATCACGAGGTAGGCATCTATGTTATTTAGCTATGCGTGTAATGCGCGAATCGGTGGGCGGGGCTTAACCGGCCATGTTGAAGTAGGCGTTGATCTTCTTCTGCGGGGGTGGTGTTTTATCCTCTTTGACGTCATAGTTCCCCACTTTGAAAAACGAGTCGTCCTTTTATTGGACTAACAAGGACGTTTTCAGTTCTGAAACTTACAGGATATTCTTATAATATGACGACCTCGTAGATGTCAAAAGCTCAAGCAAAATTTGATTTCTCAGTTCATCACCCCTTTAATATAGAACACTACCTGTGCATTACGTAAGGGATCATGTACATCCAGCCGGATACAGTACTGTCATAACACATATTACACGATAAGATTATTACATCACTGAATAAAATGAGGTTTTGTTTTAATATTTCATTAGCTCACCCAACGTCAAAAATCCATTCCAGTAACCTAGATGAGCCTGTGTGTTATCTGTATTCAGCGTGTGCTTTTTTCAGGGGATAACATACCTCTGAATGGTGCAATTGGCCAATCAGAATCAAGTATTCCACAGAGCCTTGGGATAAGCAGTTTGAACGCACACTTACCAGCCAATCAGAATCAAGTATTCAGACACACCATGGTATAAAAAGAAAAGTCCAAAAATGTCCATGGAACTGTACAGAAGAATTTACATGAGAAAGTCTAAAAGTTGATTTGTTCAGATGAAAGCGGCTTGTTAGGTCTGCAGTGGAATAGAACAGAGGGATTCTGGGTTCTATTTTGGAGAATTTGAGTGTCATTTGATGTAAAATGTTTCTCTGCATGTTCGTGTAGATTGGAGGTAATTCACTTTTGCCAGTTGAGCATCTCGTTCGTGTTTCGTGTCTGTGTGTGACTGGCGTGTGAAGAGGGCACACTATAATAATCAGAGGTGTGTGTGTGGAGACACAAAATCAATATGGAGCCGGAGAGTGTGTGTGAGGAATCGGATGCCGATGTGAACGAGCAATAGAGCGATCTCAGTTTCAGTGATTGGGAAATGTGTAGAAACGAGGATGGAGGAACGGAATAAATATCTGAAGAGCTCTCAGGTTTCGAGGGCATTCACAAACATTTTTGCAATAGTACAAAATGCAAACAGATTTTTAACACATAAATGTATTGCTAGTTGTCTGAGACATTAGGGAAGGAGACGGCAAGGACCCTGTCTTTGTTTAAGAGTCATTTATGATGTTTTTACTGTTGGATGAACTAGCCTGAAAATGTGTTAGCATGTTAGCACTCCCAATGGTGTTAATTTAGAAGTTAGTGGTCGCCTGTAGGTGGTGCTATTGCTCTCTCGTGAGTCTGTAGAGAAGCCAGATTCTTGAATGTTGCTGGTGTTTTAATGAATCTGAGAGAGATGACACTTCTCCTTTTGTAGCATTCACAGGAGAAACATGAGTAATTAAAGGATGAAATAGTGTAAAGGTCCCTTATTATGTTACTGTCTAAATCACATGACTTTGCAGTCACAAACTGCTCACCTGTAGGGAAATGAACTGAGTGGTTGATGCAGACATAAGCTTCATTCATCTTAGGCTTGTTGGGAATAGAATTATAGCATATTGAAAAAAATGTATCACGGTTTCCACAAAGAAGATATTAAAGGGATAGTTCACTTTGAAATAAATTTTTGGTATGTTTTAGTTTACCTCAAGGGCATCCAAGATGTTGGTGTCTTTGATTCCACAGTATTTTCATATTTTGATATTTTTAGGTCAAACCGTTCGTGTCTGTCAGTCATGTAATGGAGGTCAATGGTCACCACCTCAAAGAGCATGCACAGAGAAGTCCAAATTAAACATGAGTTTTAAACAGTATTTATATCGTTTTTACCTCGATATAAAAACGATATAATTTACCTTTCGCCGGCCCCTCCCACAAAATGGCCATTGTCCAATCACGCATCATAGCAACCGTTACTGTGTGAGCTGTTCCGTCAAACAGTAAGCGGTGCGCTTAAATCGGACAGATGATACCCCGAGAGATTGTCTGGAGAAGTTGTGTTTTTTCCCTTTCCAAAGCCCAAAACACAACGCGAGCGGTGCCTAAGATGTATTAAACAGTGTGGACGCCCCAATTCCAGTTAAATGTGTCGAACATGGTTAACTCGTCTCGCGTGCAGCGTGCGTGCGACTGAGATTAGTCAAAGAAGCACGGAGAAAGCAGATCAAGAGGATCCACAAAGGACTTACTGTACATTTTCTAAAGGGTTGTTGTTAACACACCATGATATTCTCTGGGAAAATGAGCAGCAGTCAGCTAAGTTAGCAGTGCAGCACCGTAGACTACAGTTTAGAGGACGTTCGCAACGGGGAAAGCATGAAGCTTACATGACAACATCAGTTCATATATCAATATCGTAACGAATAGAAATAACCTTAAATAACGTATGGTTCTCTGCCTCTTTCCGTCTCTTATGCATAACGTTAGTTACTTTTTAAACACGAAAATCGCATTCAGCATGAGCATGACACGCAATCGGTTGCTGTGGTAATGAACAACCTGCTTGTTAAAGCGAACGTGCTACTCCTGTATCGGAGGCAAAATGAATAAATATGCAGCGCAAGTTATATATTTCGAACTCCAAACAATTAGCCACTGAACCAGTTTATGAAATCTTCAAGGCTGTGCTGGTTGCATTTGAGGTAACTTAGCATGGTCATGGGGTTTTTCTGATTTTTCTTGAGACTGGTAAGCATTAGCATCAAAGTCGTGTCTCATTCATTTCTTAATTTTATATTTGGAATAAATCCCTCCACCGCATACCGTAACCCCTTTTGCTTCGATCTTGCTTGATATCGCGGAGGTATTGCTCCAAAAAAGGTCACTGACACGCACGGGAATACCCTTTGCCGTCATGGCAATCTGTACCGCTGCCCGTGTTTGACCATTTGTTTGACGGAGGTAGCAGCAGTAACTAAGGGGGGCGGGGCTCGGCGAAAGGCTAATTACTGTTTAATTTGGACTTCTCTGTGCATGCTCTTTGAGGTGGTGACCATAGACCTCCATTATATGACTGACTGACAAGAACGGTTTGACCTAAAAATATTAACATTGAAACTTCCGCAGAAACAAAGACACCTACATCTTGGATGCCCTTGAGGTAAGCTAAAACATACCAAAAAATAATTTCAAAGGGAACAATCCCTTTAAGCAGCACATCTGTTTTCAACATTGATAACAAAAATACATTTTTTGAGCACCAAATCATATTAGAATGATTTCTGAAGGATCATGTGACGCTGAAGACGACTTTGATCACAGGAATACATTGCATTTTCAAATATTTAACAATAGAAAACAGTTATTTTAAATATCAATTATATTGCTTCGAATAAATAAATAATGTATTTCATCAAATATATGGTTAATTAAAGCTTACAGACCCCAAGTTTTAAGAAACGGTGCAGTATAAATGCTGCAGAAATGGTACAAGCTGTTCTTCTCCTTGTCATCATCCTTGAAACCTCATTTGGACGAATGGTTTTGTGTGTTGTTCCCATCAGCGGGTGTGTCAGTCTTCCTCAGAGTGTGTGTTGTGATAAGTCAAGTCGCAGGCTCATCCGGCTTTGAGAGTGTCTGGTGGGTTCAGTGCCTTTAACACGTGTTCTGTCCAGCATGTGTTAAAAGGCATTGATCTGTGTGAAAAATGATAAGTTTTCATGAGGTCTGATGTCTGTCACTTCCTCCCACACACCTAGAGGCTTTACGCAAACTCCATTTACCATGTTACACACTCTAACACTTATGTGTGTGTGTGTTCTGTCTGTTTCAGATCAGCTGTTTCATGTGCTGGCCATGCACATGCGTCTCTACAGTATAGATTCAGCGTACAACCCCTGGACCAGACTCACACAGACCACGCACAGCAGAGACCCTGAGTTAGTATACACACACACACACACACACACACACGTTTGTTTCACTATATTAGTGAGGATGTTGCATAGACTTAATGCTATTTTCTATGACCTAATCCAAGCCCATCACACATCACAGAAATATGTAAAAAAACACTCAATTCAAACAAAAACATCCTTATAAGCCTAATCTCGGTTTACAAGCCTCGGTTGTCATGTTATTTGACTAGAAGTGTGGACGTTTTGCCCTCACACGCATTTCCTGAACTGATCCTCATCAGAGATCAATCCGTTTTATAAAATCATGTTACATTTCTGAACTTGCACTGCAGAACTGCACTACCCATAATCCTACAGAGAGATCCAGCAATCGGAGAATTTACTGTAATTATGGAATTTGGACAAAAGCGCTTACTCCCATGATGCATTGCCAGTAAAATAAGTCTTCCGTTCAAAATGTCGGACTGTTATTCAGTAAGGATGCATTAAATTGATCATGTATAATGTTACAAAACATTTCTATTTCAAATGAATGCTGTTTTCGTGAACTTATATAAATGAATCGTTCTATTCATTTCAACGTTGACTGTAATGTTTTAATTGATGATAAAAGGATCAAGTATTTTTTGAGTATCAAATCATCATATTAGAATGATTTCTGAAGGATCATGTGACACTGAAGACTGGAGTACTGATGCTGAAAAATCAACTTTGATCACAGGAATAAATTCCGTTTTATTATATATTAGTGCCGTCAAACGATTAAAATATTTAATCGCGATTAATCGCAATCATGTCGTAGTTAACTCGCGATTCTATTGATCTATTCTAAATGTCTCTTGATTATTATTATTTTTTTTTCTCATTTTAATGCTCTTATCAACATGGAAAAGTGGATCGGCTTGCTTTGTGCAAATGTTTTTTATTGAAAACAACATTGGCATATACAGTACCGTGTTCAATTTCACACTAACGTTCTCACTTGGAGCAAATAATCTCTCACACAATGTAACACTGTCCATCAATGAAAGGGTGAAAGAAATACTGACGAGGTCCTGATATTGACTAGGGGGTGGAGAATTCGCATCAGCTGTGTGTGTGTGTGCGCGCGCTTGGCCATCATCAAGCGGTATTTCAGACTCGACGTGCTGCGATGATGATCGCTCAGTTCACAACGACAAAACACACATATCACTTTGGTCTTGTCAATAGAATCATTTGGCAACTTTTTAAAAGTAAACTTTCCATTCAGAATCTTATTGGCATCAATTTTCGGCGTCTCGCGCTCGTCATCCACTCAAAACGTAACATTAACCAATTATTTGGACGGCTCGCAAGCCCAAACAAGTGTGTGCGGCGTGCCTGACAAAGCAACAAAACGTCCTCGAAAGGTGCAAGCCATTGAAATTAATGCATTTCATAGAGCAGCGTGCCGCGTCCTGTTGCAAAAGCTTGTGAAAAAAAACTAAGTTTGCTAGGACAAAAAGATCGTTAATCGCGCGGTTAAAAAAAATAGGGTTGCGTTAACGCCGTTAATAACGTGTTTAACTGACAGCCCTATTATATGTTATAAAAAAACATTGCAAATTACAAATACAAAAGTATTTGTCCAAAGCCAGATTTGTGTACACTAGTGTAGCTTTGTAAAATACAATTGTCAAAACATCACGTTAGCATTTACTGCGCTGAATTTTATTATTTATTTATTTAAATACTTGGTGTCCATGATTTTCTTTACCGAATTACAGTAATTACACGCATATCAATGAAGTAGCTAAAATCACTACTTTTATAATTGTTATTCATTAAGGGCCCGTCCACACGGAGACGTGTTTCGCTGTATACGTATAAATTTTTTATCGTATTAGTGTTTCATCCACGCGGATCCGGCGTTTTGGGAGAGTGAAACCGCTATTTGTTGAAACCGGGTTCTAAAGTGGATGCATCTGAAAACGACACTCTTGCGGTTTCGTGTATAGACGAATCCGACGAGCGTTCTTGTGTAGGCTGCCATCTTGTGGCGACGCCATTACTGAGCTGTTACACCGGCATAGACATATGCACCGGGATGTAAACAAACCTCGGAGATAAGGTGATAACGCACCCTTGATGACAGCTACAGCCAGGCAGACTTGTTGGGTTGATGATGTTAGACATTGGCCTCCAGTCACAGATGAAGGTACAAACGATCTTACAGATTATTTATGAAAATAGCTTGGCAAGCAAGCTAGGCTAACGTTTGCTACCGAGGAAACTAAAAAAAGATCTGTCCATTTGGCAACAATAAATAAATAAATGAAATCAAATTAACAATTTCATGTTTTTCATTTGTGTCCATTATTTATCTCATTTTTACATTGCAACGGGCAAGGGTAAGGTAACGTTACAGCTAGAAAGTATACATAATATCGACCAACTACTGTTTTTAAACCATGGAAAGAGGTCAATATAACAGCAGGAGAACAATTATGTCACATAACGTTACATTTAGCTCAGGAAAGCCATTTAATGACCATAGCATGTTAATTGAATAGAAAAAATAACAAGAGAGGAGATTTTGCTGATCACTATATCACACATTTATTATATATTTTTACTTATGTCATTAAATAATTGTTATTATACGCGAATGTCCGCGTCTTGTACTCGCCCAGGAAATCTGTGTAAACCGTACGACACCAGACAGGGGCAGTCGACCCGGGGTATTCACAATGTTTTCTCTTCAAAATTGAAATTTTACTGCCACCATTAAAACAATTTATAACGGAAACTGTTTACCCACTCGACATTATACAAGGGCTAACGTTGTAACGTTAGTGACAGTCGTAAATCTCGAGCTGTTTATTCCAGTGGACGCAAGTTTTAGTTGCAACAATAGAAGGCAATGGCGCAACGCTACCCAGCAACAGCTCAGTAATGGCGCCCGCTTACTTCCGGTAGTTTCGCCGGATTCGTCTATACAGCTAATCCGTATATTTTGTAAAGCGATGTCATCACATCACGTGTCGGCTGCATCGCACGCCATCTTCGTCTTCTTCTTCTTGGTTCGTATACAGCGGGCAAGGTGTCAGAGAATGTCTAATTGAAGAGAATTGGCACTGGCTGGTTACTTCCGGGTTCTGGACTGGCTGCAGTAACACGTCTCTGTCCATGCGGGGGCGCTCGCGGTCGAGTGCAGAATGAATGGGAGTCGATGGGGTTTCACCCCCAGAAATCCACTTTTCTCAGGATGTCATTTTTTGTCAAGTAATTTGAAAGTTGCATTCAAAAGGGAGGGCTAAGAAAATACACTCAGCTGAAAATTGCATTTTTAAGTTCACTTATCTGTTCTAAAAATCCGTTCAAAAATGTGATGACGTCACACAATAGCAGAATGCTAGCGTGTTCCAGCCAACAACAGCCTAACCTGTAAGAAATCAAAAGGACATAAGTACTCGTTCATTCGACTTTTGGTCTATAATCTATATTGAACTTGCGGAATCAACAATAAAATCGATGTTGATTTAATGACAAGCCGGTGAAAGAGACACATTTAGCCGTTTAGCCCCATAGACTCCCATTCATTCTGCTCTCGCCCGCGATCACCTCCAGTGGAATTCTAATGGAACTGCAACCAGGATGATACACAACGGGGCTAATAGGAAGTGCCAAGGCTCTCCGTTAGACGGGCTCTGGTTATGTGCATGCTCAAAGTCGTCTTCTCCGTGTATACTGTATCTCTGTGACAGAATTACAGCGCCCCATACTGGTCTGGCATATATACTACACCGTTTTCAGTCGGTTTCAGTGGTTTCGTGTGTACGCAGATATTTCTTGTGACGATGCCGTGTTTACGGGTTTTTTTTTTTAGAACGAGGGGGGGAAAAAAACGGATAGGGAAAACACCGGCTTCGTGTGGACGTGGCCGAAGTTTTGCACACAAAAAAAACCCAGTGAGACCAGTGAAGTCTGATTCACAAACAAATGATTATTCCATCTGATCAGTCAAAAAGACTGAATATTGATAACAGTACACATACACACAAGGTTTGCTCTTATAAATGGTATTTTATTTAAAATAAAATAAAAAGAACATGACATAATTTGCTAAAAGAAGTATTATTGTTACTCTCTGGCTTTTATGGTGTTATTGCTGCATCTTTTTGAAAGAGAGAGAGAGAGAGAGAGACATTAGAGCAAATGGGGTTTCCATAGATACCAATAACTGCTGCGTGTCTTGAGTGCTGTGGTTTATTTCGAGGGTTTATGAGTGTGTGGAGGTCTCCTGTTTAAAAGGCACTTAACACTCTCGGGCTGGCTAAGTGGCCTCATTTCTCCTGCGTTCGGGCGGTAACACAGTGTTTTCGCCCGCACGTCTCTTAGGACCGTTAGCCGGGCTGGACTCCGGCTCCGAGGGGAGGCAGATGTATTTATAAATGCCTTGTTTGGGCCTTTTGAAGGAAAACTCTGTCACTAGAACCCTCGGGCACATTCGCTGACCTATTAATACAGCAATTAGAATAAAACCACTTCCCTGAATCACTCGTCAAACAGAAAAAAAAGATTGTCTGAGAGTTGTGTTTGGACAGTAAAGTCATCGAATGTCATTGTGTGTGTGTGCGTGTGTGTTTGAGTCAGGGATGTGATTTTTCCGGATTAATCCGGAATTCCCGATTTTCCGACCTGAAAATGTGACCTACGTGAATCATGCAGATCTGTAAAAAAAAAAAAAAAAAAAAAAAAAAAAAAAAACGGGTGTCGGCAGCCGGAGTGAAAAGGAGACAATATGAGGACATAACCCATAACTGGTTGACGTGCGTACAGAAAGTTCCTTCCAAAGTATCAACAAGGACGTATTTGCGTTCAGCCAGAAAATGTCTAATTGGTTCAGCTTGTTCACCTGCTCAATTTCGTATCTCTAGTCGCTCTCGCGCTGGTATCGTTGTCAGTTGACAAGAACATCACAGTTAGGTCACCAGGGCTAGGCGATATATCGATATATTTCAAATTTGCGCTATGATCCTTGCTCCAAGCAAGCTGCTGACTGCTTTTGTAGAAATATGTAGCGTCTATATCGTGCATTCTGTCAGTTGCAGTCCTGACACCTCCGTCTCAACAGCATAGTGTACAACGCGACAAATACTCGCAATATTAACGCAGAGGAATATGGAGTCAAAGTAGGGCCATATATATCTGCAAAATATAACAATGTTTCGCAAAAAAAATATATGTTTTGCAAATAAAAAAAATGTTCTGCAAAAGACTCCATAGAGGAACGGCTACATCAGTTCAGCGAGTTCACAAAAGTTATTTTGCATGTGCTTTAAAGCCTTGCCGGTTAAAAATGTCATTCACTGCTGATGCGCTGTTCTGAGCGCGAACACCCGACGTGCACATGCACTAAAAGCTTGTCTAACAGCGCCTGGTTGCTGGACTAAGTTATCTTTCGAGTATTATTTCGCTAATACTCTCAAATATACACAAGGTTTACATAAGAACATTTGGTTATGTCTAAATTCAAAGCAAACCGAGAAAATTGAGAGAAATCTGCTTGTCGCGTACAGGTCTTAAAGTGACAGTAGCCCTAATAATAAAAATGCAGCCGCTTGTTCTTAAAGGGATAGTTGACCCCAAAATAAAAATTCTGTCATTATTTATTCACTGTAATGTTGTTCCAAACCTGTATTAATTTATTTCTAGTGCTGAACAAAAAAGAAGATATTTTGAAGAATGTGGGTAACCAGACAGTTGCTGGTCCCCATTGACTTCCATAGGGAAACATTTACTATGGAAATCACTTGGGTACATCAACTGTTTGGTTACCGACATTCTTCCAAATAACTTAAGTAACGTAAACAGAAGAAATAAACTTTTTCAGGTTTAAAACAACTTGAGAGAGTAAATGATGAAAATTATTTTTTTGGGGAGAACTATCTATTTAATGTTAATTAAACAACAAAACACAGAGGAAATCACTCACTGCTCTTGACTGAGAACTGTAATAGTAGCTTTAATAAGAAGGGGGCTCGGTACATGTAATAGTAGCTTTAATAAGGGAGGGGGGGGGGGGGGGGGGGGGGCTCGGTACATTTTCCTGCTTTTTTGTCCTTAGCCAATCACATGCCTGTTGAGTGAATTATTTGAGTTTTTTCAGTCGTGTCCAAACACCATTTAGGGCCAATATGCACAAAAGCTCGGTTCAGGTTTCTGCTCTAATGGACGTCACTCACACAAATCAAAGCGTTTTAAATATAAGTGAGTAAATAAATATATGCCGTTCTGTTTTCTTTTATATTTTAATTGCGGTCTTGGGTTTTTATATGTGACCTGCCCACCTACTGTACGTTTAAAGTACAATTGTATTGAAAGGATTGGTCCATAATAATTGAAGTTGTTCTGTTGTGTGTGTGCAAGTCTGTAGTTGAGATGCAGTGTATATTTGGTGTTTTGTGTTTTAGTGTTGTACTGTTGTATGATACTGTGTTTTGTGTGCAGGTTCTGTAACGATGAACGTCCAGAGGTGCCCATGCTCTTCAGAGATGTCCCGTCCCTCCTCATCATCTTCATCCTCACCATGCCTCAGCCTTTACGCAAAGGTAACACACACTGTTCATGTTTATACCACACAGTAAATGATGGCGAAAGACCTTCTTAATTACCAATTTATCAAATAACCCTGACAGATTATTAGTTCATGATAAAAAATGTGGTTTAAAAAGGAAAATGTTCAATCAAAAACACAGTCTCATGAGTGATTTACCATGATGCTCTCTGCTACAGTAGATGTCCTGCACTTTCCTCTTTCCCCTCACACACCCAACCCTTCACATGTGGCTTTAGTCTTTAGATGGGCCAGGACTGTCTTGGTTAATCACTAATTATTGATTGACTCAAATAAGCACCACGTGTTTTGTCATTGTGAGCAGAGGATCGATTCGGGTCCATCAGTCTGAAGACGCGAGACAATAAAGCTCGTATTAGAACAGAAACGGGCTGTGCATGTGTTCGAGAATAGTGTGTGGTGTCTGTCACTGGTGAGGATGTTAATGGAGTGTCATTGTCTGTGTGTGTGTGGCTTTTCATCTCACAACCGGTTTTAACACCTGCTACACGGACACAAGGGCTAATTACCCTCTCCAAAAAACCCTCTCCTTTTTCTGTACACAGTCACATGATTGATTTTTGTGTCTTAACAAAAGCCCTATGATTCTCTTGAAAGCTCTGCTGTCTGTAGAGCTGTTTGAGTGGGTGTCTCTCCGTGCATCTTGTTATTGGAACAGATGCTTTTATTGAAGGATGCAACCTTAAACTTTTACTTTGACATTTTTACAGTTTGGGGGGACCGGAGTTGATGGAATGATATTGTAGTTATTGCCCCACTTTTATCCGTAGACTTAACAAATATGCTGACTGCTGTAGTTAGTGTATGAATATCATTTGCATAGCTGTCGACATTGAACATTGAAAAATAAGGGAGTTTTCCCGGAATCCATCCCCAAAATAAGGGATTTTTTTTTACACGATTCTTACCCACAAACTTTAAAAATAAGACACTAATCCTTAAAAGTCTAAAGAGTTTATAACTAGCCTAGAAACTAGTGTGTCATTTAAAGAAAAAAAAAAATCTACATTTGGATTTGTGGTGGCGTGTGTTGCTCTTGCCTTTACGGCAATTTCAACTGTTATCACACATCTTCCAAAATCCGCAAAATAGGGAAGTGGGCTGTCTGTTTATTTCAATTACATTTACACATTTTGTGTAGCTTTAAAGAGCCTATATTTAGCCTGGTGGTGGACCGTCACTCAGAAGACACACTCTGTTGTTATTGTAGCCTATTCCTAACTTTATATCCTCCTGAGGCCCACAACGTTTTTTCAAAAGTTTTTTTTTTCTTCTTCGTGTAATCACATTGTTAAGAGCATAAGAAACAAATGAAAAAAAAAAAAAATAATAAAATATATTTTATTCATATGTTATATGACATTAAATTCAGTGTTGTGCAAGTTACTTCCAAACTGTAATACATTAGGTATTACTTGTTACTGTTATTTAAAAGTAATTCATTACCTTACAATATTACTGTCTCAGAATTGTAATGCGTTACATTTCTCATGTATTACTTTTGAGTTACTTTTACCAAAATAACTAAGTAGTACTTAACTTTGGGGCTGTAACGATATGCAAAATGAAACCGAAATCGCGATTCGCCACACGACTCAGATCCACGAACCTGCAGAATCGCGACACACCTCTTCCAACTCCAGCGTTATTCTCCTTACCGTCCATATCCAATGCTGCCTTATCTTTAAATTAGGCTATTAGTATTATTTGAAGTTAACAATATAAAATACGTAGACCTACACCACAAAACTAGTTGAGGATAAATTATTTAAAATTGGGGAAGTCCAGCATTATGGACATGACATTTGCAGTCAAAACTTGAAATAAAAATTCTCATGTATTGAAACGTATATAGGCTACTTCCTTAAAGGACAGACATTAGACATTAGACAAATATCAGTCTATGTTTTATTTTTAATATTAGGGAAAAGACACACATTCATGCGTGACAAAAAAAAAATAGGAGGCAAAATATATTTTTTGTAATTCTGTTAATTACACTGCGCAAATCGGATGAGGAGGGGTTGGCATTTTAGTTTTCGTGTTCGCATTTATGAGGAAAAAACAATATTACAGATGCGACCGCTCTGAACTGGCACAAAAAGACTGCTTTAAAACTTTCACATAGTCTGTTGCCTTTAAGAAGTAAAATACACTGTAATACAACTGTAATACAAGCCTGACTGAACATGTAACGAGTAAAATATTACTGAAAATTGATTAGTAATGCCTTACACTACTGTGTTACAGCAAAAAGTAATATGTTACTGTAATGTATTACTTTTGTAATGCGTTACTCCCAACACTGATTAAATTATATATAGCCTATAGGCAAAACTAATGGCAATATTTGAAAATCGATTATTATAATTATTATTTGTTTAAATTACATTTGATATCTGAATTTACGTAAAAACCTCGACTTTCAAACATCAAAATGTAAAATGTAGGCTATTCGAGTACAAAATGGCATATAAACATCGTGTCCTATTTTTTATTTATTTATTTGCCTGGAAACGCTTTCAACACGCTTGCGTGTCGCGTGAAATATAGGCGTCAGTTCTATTTCTAGCGTGCACGCGTTTTCTGGATTTTTGCTCTTTTCCCGCTGTCTTCCCGTTTTAGTGTTTTCCCGTAAAATATCCCGTATTTTTACTCTGATTGTGTGAGACGTACGAGCTCGGACCGATTCGGCTTGAAGTCGTTTATCCTCTAATCTCATAGTTAACATGGGAGCCGAAATAAAAACGGACACGCCAGGGTGTCTCTGGCCAGCCGCAGCCGAGGATAAACGACTTCAAGCCGAATCTGTCCGAACTCGTACGTCTCACACAATCAGAGTAAAAATACGGGATATTTTACGGGAAAATACTAAAACGGGAAGACAGCGGGAAAAGAGCAAAAATACGTGAGAAACCCGGAAAAAACGGGAGGGTTGACAGCTATGCATTTGTGAGGAACAGAAGTCCAGACCAGTTTAAATTGTCTCTAACCTCAAAATTTACGAGAAAGAACCTCATTGGTTCTCGCACCTCAAGTAAACAAGCTTTTACTTCTGTTTACCACAACTGATGTATGAGTTAATGAATGTTTATACACTCACCTAAAGGACACGTCAATATTCTTCATATTGACTCGCCATGTTAAATGTTTTTTTTTATGAAGCAGTTTCATTAACAGTGGCTAAGATAACACAAGATTAAAACCACTTTTCAGGTAAATTTGTTAACCCAATATTGTGGTGTGGGTTAAAAACATTTGGTTCTTAAAGTTACACAAATAAATTTGTATAAATAAATTACATTATTGTTCCTGTTGAACTGTAGAGCAAGGCAACAGCAAGGTCATTGGTTCAATTCCCAGGGAAGGCTTTAATGGGATAGTTCAATTACTTTTTTTAGAAAAAAAAAATCAATTACTCAACTAGGGCTGGGCAAAAAAATCGGTTTTTCGATTAATCGTTTTTTTAAAATGTGGTCGATTCAAAATCGATTCTCAACGGCCACGAATCGATTTTTTCCATATAAAGGGCTCGCGGACGCGGTGCTGCATCTTCTCGTCTCTCTGCACTAGGCAAGCGCCAAGCGCTCCAGCTGTCGATACACACACGCGTTTAGGAGTCGGGACATGACGGAATATTCACTTAACAATCGGGCCAGCATTGCATCGTAACCTATGATCGTAACTAACATTTATCATTTATTTGCTCAAGCAATGTTAAACCATCCCGTGCTCGCGCACACTCAGAGATTTCTTTCACTGCGTGCACAGCCTAAATCCGCCTCACAAACAGCTCGCCAGAAACAAAAGTTTTATCCCTGGATTATATCACTTTAACAGTTAAAACACGCAACATTATGTCAAAACTCTGGTCTTGGTGAGTAACCTCGTAAAGACAGTCGGTAATGTCTTAAATTAGCATTAAACGCGTGTGACAGAAAGTTAATGAAACAGTAATGGATTCGCGCACTAACGTTAGTTCTTAAAGTGAACGCAGCCATTTGTGTCAGTCATTAATTCTGTTGTCATAACAACAGAATATAGTATTAATTGTAAGCAATCAGAATTAAAAGCCTTTGTCTTTAATTCAGTCTGGACTAAAAAGACTATCCAGTGTTATTTTACATTGGATTACTTTATTCAGTTTCTGTAGTATTTCTGACATACCCAAAAAACTACCCCAAAATGTCTCTTAATTTGTGTCTTTATTCTATTGTATTTATTTGTGCTACGTTTTTCAATTTAATTCAAAGATTGAAATCAAGCATCCATACATAAACTCTTAATAAAAAAAATACATTAACATTTAGGTAAGATCAATGTAAAAAATGTCTAAATATTTATATATTTATCTATCTTAAACATAAAATAACATGATGCTGTTTGATCAAGCTGTGCGACTGTTCTGACTTTTTTTGCATATTGCATCAAAATCCTGTCTAGTCTTTGTATGCATTTAGTGTACCTAAAATAAAAAGTGTATTATATATACTGTAGGTTTATGGCTCTTAATTTTCTTGTATTAATTAACCACTAGTAAACTTATGTCCACTGTTCTTTTTTATAAATTATAAATATAGGATTTTTATTACGTCTTCATTATAGTTGAATCGAGAATCAAATCAGGAATCGAGAATCGAAAATCGAATCGAGAATCCGAATCGAACTGAGAGCTTGCGAATCGAAATCGAATCGAAATTGAAATGTGAATCGATACCCAGCCCTATACTCAACCTCATGTCGTTCCAAACCAGTTAGACTTTCGTTCATCTTTGGAACACATGAAGATATTTAATAAAATGGCAATTATATTTTTGGGTGAACTAACCTTTTTAAGTAATGAAATATTTACCTAGAATCTGCAACAGTCGTAATCTCATGAAATATGAGTGAAATAATGTTTTTCTTTCGTCATAATCGTAATTAAGTCATTATATTTAGATGAATAATGCACAGTATGACCACAAACATTTATTAACCTTCAAATGGTCTTCATTTCCTGTTTACACTTCCGGGCTTTGGGGTCTATACGACCCCAACAATTGATTGAGTAATTGTACAAAAAATATACGTTTTTAATAATACAAATAATATCGCGTTTTTTTGTTTGTTTACTTCTCGTCTATTCATTAATGCTGTGTTTTTGGAGATATAAAGTACTTTTGTATCCATATACCACACAATTCCTCAACTACACCATTAGCTTGCATATGAAATATTATTTTTTTATGATATATTGCATTTATGCTCTAGTACTAGGCCTTCATTTCTGTGTACATTTTCAGATTTATGCCGGATATTTATTTATTTTATTTTTTTGACGCATGAAGAAAATATATTTAGTTTTTTTTTTCACATTTCCCATTCATTTCAATGTGGGGTCATATTGACCCCGGAGACCAGAAGTGTAAACATTTTTTTAACATACCTTCAGAACAACCGAATCAAGCGTGGTTTTTTATGTGTATAGATAGATAATGTATGAAAACTCATAAAAATCTTATTCCACTGAGATGAAGGGAACCTTTTTTTTTATTAAGAAAAAGTCGATTGGGGTCGTATAGACCCCATTACCTGATTGAGGAAGACTACAGTGAATGATGTTTAAAGATAAGATACTACATCTTGTGTTGATAAGCATGTTGTGTTTGTGTGCAGAGCACTTCACGTGTGTGGTGAAGGTGTTGTACAGTCTGCAGTTCACACAGGCTCTGGCCGCTCTGTCTATCAGATTCAGCCGTGAGGAGAGACTCGCCTGGAGCAACACAGGAGCTGCCAAGAAGGTGCGACCAAAGAGCCTAACATCTCAGCCAATCACATATCCAGCCAAACACCAGTCAAAAAGCTGTTTTAGCCATACGCCAGCCATTTGACTTTCATGATTGATTACCACGCCTACTGCTTTTCAAGGGCTGGTGTGTCCGTCAAACAAAATGACAGACCAAGTGTCCCTTTATAATTTTCGGGAAAAAAATACTTCAAATGCAGTTCATCATAGTTTATCATTGCACAAAAGTCTGAAAATACAACCAACCATTGTATCAGATTGTTATGTTGAAACACTAAAATAACAGTAGAAGATGAGAAATCTACGCAGTTGTCAAGAAGTCGAACAGGTGACATGTCAGAAAAATTGACTTTACAAGGAAAATGTTTTAATTTTGCAGATGCAAACGGGTAAATGTGTTTTTTTTTTTTCCTTAAAATAATGTTAACGTTGGCTACATTATTTATTACTTATCAGAGCACAGAGATCTTGAAACCATTCAGCATTCTTTAGTTTTTCAAGTAAAAACATACAATCCACTAGGGCTGAACGATTATGGAAAATAATCGAATTGCGATTTTTTTTTTTATTTATTTTTTTTTTTTATTATTATTTTTTTTTTTAAACCAATATTGCGATTGCGATTTAAAAAAAAAAGTTCTTTACCTTCTGTATTAGTCGACAAAGACAAGCAAAAAATCATTGTACAGTAGGGATGTGAATCTTTAGGCAGCTCATGATCCGGTCTTCTTTTTTTTATTAATTAATCTTAAAGGATTAGTTCACTTTTGAAAAAACTTTTGCTGATAATTTACTCACCCCCATGTCATCCAAGATGTCCATGTCTTTCTTTCTTCAGTCGAAAAGAAATTTAGGTTTTTGATGAAAACATTCCAGGATTTTTCTCCATATAATGGACTTCAATGGGAACCGGATGGTTCAAAGTCCAAAAGACAGTTAATAACAGTTTCAGATGCAGCTTCAAATGTCTTTAAACGACACCAGACGATGAATAAGGGTCTTATCATGCGAAACGATCGGTTATTTCAAAGCTTATTCCAAAAATTTAACTTTTCTAAGGACAAATGCTAGCCTTTCTCCATTCTGTGAGGCGCGTTTGCAACGTCACGTAATACGTAATTACGTTCAAAAGGTCACGGGCGACGTAGCCGGAAGTACAGAATCAAAATCGTCCGACATCGTTGTTTTACCTTTTAATTCCTTTTTTGTAAACGGCGTTTGAGTTAGTTTTCACGTTCAACCTATGCGTTCAACTTGTAAACATTGACTCTGTACTTCCGGCTACGTCGCCCGTGACCTTTTGAACGTAATTACGTATTACGTGACGTTGCAAACGCGCCTCACAGAATAGAGCAAGGCTAGCATTTGTCCTTAGAAAAGTTACATTTTTGGAATAAGCTTTGAAATAACCGATCGTTTCGCGTGATAAGACCCTTATTCATCGCCTGGTGTCGTTTAAAGACATTTGAAGCTGCATCTGAAACTGTTATTAACACTATCTTTTGGACCTGAACCATCCGGTTCCCATTGAAGTCCATTATATGGAGAAAAATCCTGGAATGTTTATCAAAAACCTAAATTTCTTTTCGACTGAAGAAAGAAAGACATGGACATCTTGGATGGCATGGGGGTGAGTAAATTATCAACAAAAGTTTTTTCAAAAGTGAACTAATCCTTTAATAACACTTAAACTATGTATTTAATTACATGTGTAAAAACGCATACTTTAAAAATTAATTATAAAAAAAAAAACATTTAATTTAACCAATGTTAAGAATTTTAAATCGGCTTTATAAAATAATATATCTTCAAAATATAAAAGCTAGTAAATAAAGAGAAACAAAAAAAAAACATTACAAGCAATAAAGAAAGAGTGGTCTCAGTATTTAAAAGTAGACCGTCTGAATGTTCATCATTCGAGAGCTGGAGTGATTTTCCCCCTCAGTTTAGATACCATAAGCTGCATTCACACTAATGCACATATCTCTTGAAATTGTAAATGTGGTTTGTCCTGTTGGTTTAAGAACTGACCGTGTTTAAATTAATTTTGCGTCATAAAAGCATTTTGACATGCAAGTTTATGCACATTTAACCAATGAGTCGCTGCTCTTGCGATTACAAAATCGCGTTTCATCATATCGCGATTTTATCGCAAATGCAATTAATCATTCAGCCCTACAATCCACAATCCATAAGATGAAATCAACAGATGCACAAGTATCTTGCATGAAGCCTATTTTCTCTTATAGATGTTTCCTCTAAATGTAGATGATATTTATAGTGTTTATTCATGTTCCACAACAACATACCATAGTTTAAAGAATCCCCCCTCCCCAATTTATTGGCTATTTGGGCTGTCAGTCATTTACTGTACCTGTCGTTTGGTCAATTATAGCAAGGATTGTGTTGTGGAACTGCAATTATAATCAACAATATTGAGCACAGTTCATGATGTAGGCTGTCACAGTGGCGTATTAATGCAGAATTCAACTGATCTCTTGTCATTGGTGTGGATACTTGTATTGTTTATTTTACAGAAGCTCAATCCAGTCCGATTCCTGATTTTATAATGATTAAATTGCACATTTAAAGGGTTCTTTCACCCAAAAAATGACATTTCTGTCATTAATCACCCTCATGTCATTCCAAACCTGTAAGACTTTCCTTCATCTTCAGAGCAAATCTGAAAGATTTATAAGTTCATCATTAAGCGATTGAGTCTCTTCAGAAAATTTGGACCGAACCGCTCAGTTCTAATGGATTAGTGTAACGATCTCTTTGTGGATTTTTTGAAGCGTCAAAATAGTAGTCAATGCGTAGCTGTCAATGGAGGGACTGAATTCATCAAAAAGATCTTCATTTCTGTTCCGAAGATGAACCACATGAGGGTTAGTAAGTGATGACAGAATTTTCATTTTTGGGTGAACTATCTCTTTAAGACCCTTACGATAAGCTAATTTTATTAAGAGAAAGAATGTGTTATTGGCCCTCAATCCTGTTTTAGAGGTGATGGTAATAATCTTCAGAAAACCCAGAGCGAGCAAATCCTTCAGATAAATCTCTCTCGGAGGTTTTCATTAGCACAGAAGAGATCATTAGCAATGGTTCTGCATTCCATTAAATGTCTATTTTTGGTGTAGATGGGCTTTATGAGAAATAAATGGACTAAGGTGAAGTTTCATGTCATCAGTCAGACTGCTTTAATTCACATCTCCCTCTGTCTGAAACTTCTATTGCTTTCGCAAATTGCTGACTATATTTAAAACAATACACAGTTCCTTCCTAGACTGCAGTATTGGGTATTATTGATGCAGTTAATCCATTTGTGATGGCCAATAATGTTGTCTAGATAGTCAGCTCAGTAGATTTTAAAGCACAGCCAATGTACAGTATTTCAATCCAGTTAGTACAATGACAGTGATTCCTGGAGGGAGTAAAATCTCTTATCTTTCTTTAGTTTATAATATTCAGTGCTTTTTCAATACACAGAACACACCAAACTCTGACAAATCATGGGAGGCACTCCTGGGTCACGTGATCTCCGAGCTGACGAAGGCCAAAGATGTGTACGACACCAACTCTGAGGAAGCATTCGTGGTGAGTCCTCTTCAACGTCATGTGATGGCCAAGTCCTCTGCATTTAACCCATCCAAGTTAGTGCGGGTTTCAAGTCCAACTACACTACCATTATGACGGAATTTACAAAGCAAATTTATTGGACAAAAATGATCATTGAAGTCATTAACTTACAAATTCAGGATCAGTAGTAATAATGAGAATATGTAGTTCAGCGAACAGCAGGTTCAGATCCTTTTTAGTGAAGAAAAGTGGAAATGAGTATCCAAGGACCCATTGTTGAACAATACATCTATTCAGTCACATGATCCTTCAGAAATCATTCCAATATGCTGATTTGATGCTCAAGAAACATTTCTGAGTATCCACAAGTTTCCTACGCCCCATGAGGCCTTGCGTCAAAAGTGGGCACGACTTCCGGTTGGAAGTAAACAAAGCGCGACTTGACATGCTTGATACTCGTTCATTCAACAGTTGACAGTCATTCAAGTTATAGCGATCCAAACTAGCTAACGATGTGGGAACCATAGCTGTCAACCCTCCCGTTTTTTCCGGGTTTCTTACGTATTTTTGCTCTTTTCCCGAATCAGCTCGGGCTGATTCGGCTTGAAGTTGTTTATCCTCGGATGCGGCGCCGCGCGCGCTGAGACACACTGGCTGTGTGGCGTGTCCGTTTTTATTTCGGCTCCCATGTTAACAGATTAGAGCTTGCACACTGCCTGCGTGACACGCGCGTCTCCAGAAAACGCGTGCATGCTAGAAATAGAACTGACGCCTATTTTTTCACGCGACACGCAAGCCTGTTGAAAGCGTTTCCAGGCAAAAAAAATAAATAAAAAATAGGAAACGATGTTTATATGTCATTTTGTACTCGAATAGCCTACATTTTACATTTTGATGTTTGAAAGTCAAGGTTTTTACATAAATTCAGATATCAATGTAATTTAAACAAATAATAATTATAATAATCGATTTATATTGCCATTAGTTTTGCCTATATATAATTTAAGGTCATATAACATATGAATAAAATATCTTTTCTTTTTTTTTCCATTTGTTTCTTATGCTCTTAACAATGTGATTACACGAAGAAGAAGAAAAAACTTTTGGAAAAAAACGTTCTGGGCCTCAGGAGGATATAAATATACGATAGGCTACAATAACAACAGAGTGTGTCTTCTGAGTGACGGTCCACCACCAGGCTAAATATAGGCTCTTTAAAACTACACAAAATGTGTAAATGTAATTGAAATAAACAGACAGCCCACTTCCCTATTTTGTGGGTTTTGGAAGATGTGTGATAACAGTTGAACTTGTCGTAAAGGCAAGAGCAACACACCGCTAATCCAAATGTAGATTTTTTTTTCTTTAAATGACACTAGTTTCTAGGCTAGTTATAAACTCTTTAGACTTTTAAGGATTAGTGCTTTATTTTTAAAGTTTGTGGGTAAGAATCGTGTAAAAAAAAAAATCCCTTATTTTGGGGATGGATCCCGGGAAAACTCCCTTATTTTCAGTGTTCAATGTTGACAGCTATGGTGGGAACACAACCTCAACGAAATTAAAAAGGGTGAAATAAAAGTACCTTTACCCTCCGCAGTGTATTATAATAACATTATTAATAATCAATACTCATCAAGGCATGGTGACAGACAGTTGTGTGAACTGACAAACAAAATAAAAAATACACACTTAGTCATTGTGCTTTGGAGTTTATTCAAAATTATAAATGAATGTGCTGCTTGAATACATTAACTGGCACATTTGGTATTCTGTCAACAGGCTTTGATCCTGAGTTTAGGTGTAACATCAGTAGCGAACAGCCAAACACATGCTGATAGAGTTTATAGAATATTAAGAATTTAAACAAATGTACACAGGAAGATTCGTCGTCTTTTGGGAGGTGATGGAAACTACAGTCGTTGGCAGGATCAGAGACGGGCTTTGGCAGGATCACTCTGATTTCGTTTTCAGCTTATGTTCAAAACAATCACGTTTAAGCCACTGAATTAGTTTAGTCCGGTTATATACAACCGCGAACAGCACATGTTGTCCCTGAGCTCCGTAACGACATCTCTCATACAGATTTGCGTCTTTAAATAGTAAAATAATTCTCCGAAAAACAGCTAGCCTCTTCGCTAACTAACACACAAAATACCATTGGAATGCTACTTCCGCCGCCTCACCGGAAGTTTCACCCACTTTATTTTTTACAGGAGCGCCCCTCGGAAACTTGTGGATAATCAAATGTTGAAAACGGTTGTGCTGCTTAGTTTTTTTTTGTGTAAACCAAAAAATTGGAACAGCAGTGTATCATCTATACATATAATTTTTATTTAGAAAACCCCTTTTCATGAGAATTCGCCATAGAAGAGTAATTATCTGCAGCTCACTGTTATTTGACCCTAAAGCTTGTTCTTTCAAAGCAAATCATCTCTGAGGAAGATCGTGTGTGTTTTTAGCTGTTATTAATGATGTCTTCTCTGTGTAGTTGAGCTCCAGTGTGTGGTCTCCTCAGTCCATTGAGTTCACCCTACAGCAATTCTGTCTGCCCTTCCTGAGACTGTCCTGCTTGCTGCAACACCACCTGTATGGAGACAGCTTACCCGGATGCCTGGTACACACACACACACACATTTATAGAGAGCCTAGTCATGAAAGTCCCTCCCCTTCCGGTCGACCACCATGGGACCTTATTTCGGAAAAATATTGAATGGTAGTCAATGGCGAGAGACAACAAACATTTTGATCTGGTTTAAATTGTGCCCTGAATTACACATATGATGTTTGTCAATTTAAAAGATACATTTTAAAATAAAGAAAGTCGCAGTTTGATGTAAAACCGTTGAGGTATAAGAGTGTGAAAATACATAATTACAAAGACTACAAACCCCAAAGGCGCACATTTTCTCTCAAATGAATGCAGCTAACTTTACTGAGGCTAATGTCTGTCATTGTTTCTATAGTCTTACGTTATAATCGTAACGTTACGCCGTCATGCCTGAGTGTTTGGTACCAAACTGCACACACACGAGCAGCGGATCTCGTTTCTCTTCCCGGGTGATGTAGTTCATAGAGCGATTTTCACATAAACTAAATGTTACTCTTCTGTTGTATGACAAACTGTGACGTTTTTGACTTTCAGAATTATGTTTTAAATTGACAAACATCATGTGTGTAATTGAGGGCACAGTTCAGACGGAATAAAAAGATAATTTGTCTCTCGCCATTGACTACCATTCATATTTTTTCCGAAATAGGGTCCCATGAGCCGGAAGCGGAGGGGCGGGACTTAGGCTCTCTATATCATTACATAGACTTCTACAGCTAGTTATAAATACTATAACCTAACTCGCACACCCTAATTGTTCGTTCACACCAGACGCGAATAGCGTGTCAAATTCGCGCCTACTGCGTCTAGTTATGCGCTTGAACACTTTGAATCCATTTGCGCGTCAAGAGCGAAATTGATGCGTGTAAAAACAAAAGTTTGAAGCGAAATTTACGCGCACCAGAATCGAAACCTGTTGGCGGCCATCTTTTTTCTGTCGATCGAGCATTCATCGAGAGAGTCACCGCTCTGTATTTGCTCTGGAGAGCTAGAACAGCGGCGTGGGGACCATCGTCGTCGTATTTGTGTCCACCGGACCCTTCGGAGGCGAACCGTTTGGCGAGTTTCACCATTTGCTCGCTCCAGGAGCTGCGTCTGGATGAATCAGCGATACTTCCGCCTGTCCCGCGGCCAGTTTGATGACCTGTTATCCCACATTGGAGCGAGGATCACCCTTGGCCTCATCCATCTAATCTGTCATTTTTGTTTTGATGAAAAATAGAGCCAGCCTCCTTATTAACCTGTCCTGTGAATTTTTTTTTTTCTCTCACGTCCGGAACACGAACTTATGGACTTGTATGTTGTTGGTTGTCTTTACATTATAATAATATTTCACATAATCTAGATATAGTAAAAATAACATTCAATACAAAATGAACATGTCTCGTATATAGAAATAAAGTTTTAAGAGAAAATATTTGCTTTGTTGTGCATTAGAACCACGCAGGCATTTAGTCATATTATTGAAGCATCTAGATTCTTCACCACGTGAGCAAGCAGCTAGGCTCCTGATTGGTTAAAGCGGCGCGAATTGACGCCAAAGTTCAAATTTTTCAACTTGGGTGGCAGACGCGAATTCGTGTCAAACGTGTGAATGCACAAATAGCACTAACTAAATCATTTGCGCTTAAAGCTACAATATGTAACTTTATTGGCCACAAGAGGGCGCCGTTTCCAACAGTAACAAAGGTGTATGTATGTGACGCAGTGACAAACTAAATGATGGGACTTGCTGTCAAGCTGATGGATCTGATAATGTTTAAGGATTAATGAAAACACTAATGTTTTTTAACATTACAGTGGTGTGAAGCAGATCGCGATTGCTAATAAGAGACATATATCACACGCGAGTCCCGCGGATATAAAGGAATAAGGGAATTTCATCCTATTGAACTACACTTAAGTGCTCGATTACTCACACAGCTCAGTTTATTAGATGAATTAAACGTGTGAGGGAAACGCAGCGCTGTTACACTTGGTATAACGTTACACCATCACACTAAACGCCATTTAAATGTGTGTTGAAAGTTATAATGTTATTCTACTGTAGTCTACCGCAAACGTTACTGTAGTTCGTTTGCTATACGAAACTAGCAGCTAGATCAACATAAGAATAACAAAATGACCATATTCTAACATTTCATCATGTCAAGCTAACGTTATATAACATTGATTTGTTTCATGTACATTTGCTCACCTGTCTAATAAAGCTGACTCGTGAAGTTCTGTCAAGTCCAAGTTAGTCACGGACGCTAGCTCTCTGTCGAGTGGAAGTCGGTCTCGGACGCTAGCTCTCGGCATCTCAAAAACATCACGCTGATATTGATCCTCATTCTAGTTCTCCTTGTTTGTCCCAAAGTCTGCTTACCATGGTCTATGTTTGAACGAAACAAGAACTGGGTGCCGCTAAACGTTACTCACTACGCAGTTGTCCGCATCTGTCGCCATGGTTACGTCATGGCTATGGCAATACGAGCGGAAACGAGGATAGTGCGGATATTGCGTCATTGACGGGCGACATTTTTTTCCGGGACGGCCACTTATTTAAAATTGGAATTTCTCTGAAATAGAAGAACTTTGGAGACTTTTGGGTATTGTAAGTACACAACAAAAGTGATATTTGGATATTTTATTACAAAATTCTTACATGCAATGCTCCAGACGCTCAATTTGCGTGAACTTGCGAATGAGGCGTATTCGTGACTACTGCGCTGCAGGAATTTTTTACGCGTGTAACACGTCTTTGCATCGACAAATCATTCAAATCACTCGCGCATGACTCGCTATTCACGTCCGGTGTGAACGCACCATAAGAGGATAAATATATATATATATATATTTATTTAAATTTGATACTGTTTTTCAAATGAATCCCCAAATGGATGCTCACTTCCCAGAATATGGTTAAATATGTTCTCTCACACGTGTTGGCAGACTCACGGCTGTCTCTCGTCACAGGTGGAGGAGGAGTTTTCTCTGCTGACCGGCTGTCTGGGTTTGACTGGTTCTGTTCAGTCCAGTGGATCCGTGAGCAGCACAGCATGTCTGGACTGGAACGTCAACGCTTTCGATCTGATTAACCAGTGGTGTTCTGAGGTCATCGCTCTGTCCAATACACCCTCCCAGCAATCTGTGGTCAGTGTCTGTCTGTCTTGATTCTTTGTAACCCTGTTTTATTTAATGTTTTGCTAACCAATTGTTGTTGTTTTTTATTACTGTTAACCATAGTGACCGAACCAAGCGTAACCAGCTTCAGTAACGTCATCTTTGATATTCAAGATTGCGGAGCAGGGTTTTGAACCAATAAGATTCAAATACAAATGAAAGGGGTCATGACATGAGAAATCACATTTGCCTTGGTCTTTTGAAATTATAACATCCATAGCTTTAATCATCCTCCTCGTTATAAATAAGGCATTTAATTTAATCTAGCTTCAAAACAATTTTTAGTTTTGATATTGCGGGATCTGTGACATCACACAGGCAAATACATTTGCATATGCCTGCCTCCAGAGCAACACACTGACGAATAGTTATACATCATCAAAATATAGGCCCCGCCCACGAGCGTTCAGTCGCTTAACCTGCTGGTTTGTATCTCTGTACAGACTTTCAGAAGGAACCCAGTGTCAGAAACAAGTGGATGGTTTTTTTCAATGGCGTCCCAGATCACCTCATGTTTGTTCGGAGCATTTGACTGCAGTTTGTTTTGTAAATGAGGCAAAGTGTAATGAGAGTTTGCAAAGAAACTTTTGTTGACTGATGAAGCAGCCGACTGTATTGGATCTGACTTGTGCAAAAATGTTTAACATTTACTAGTGCATCTCAAGGAACATATTAAAATAAAAAAAATCCATGTCAAGACCCCTTTAAACAGCAATGATGACGTGTGGCAGTGTGTCAGTTCTCACAGTCTTGAATAATTAGAATAAAAACTTTGACTAACATTAGAAAGATCTCATAGTTTGGATTTGGTTGGATGTTTTCCATTACTGTTCAAAAGTTTGGGGTCAGTGAAACATTTAAAAATCTTACCGACCACTTTGAACATTTTTTTATATGTACTGTATTTAATTCTTGAATTTAAAGGTGAAAGTGAAGTGATCTTTTCAATGTTAAAATTCAGGTAACGCTTCCTTTTACAGTCCAGTTATCCATGTAAATACTATGTACTTATTTTAGTAACTACAATTACTGGGTAATAACTAGTACTAACCCTGAACCTACCCCTAAACCTACCCCTGTTCCATGTACTTACCTTATATTAGGCTGTACTTTCTAGGTAAGTACTGTACACTGTAAGTACTGTACTGTAAAAGGAAGCGTTACCAAAATTCTTTCTCCATTCTTACTTATAATGAAACTAAACATTTGTTACTGCCTTTTTTCAAGTGAAACAGCATATACTGTACATCGAAAAATGTAGGGCAACACTTGATTTTTCCCATTGGGAATTGAATGGATCGTAGAAAGGGCACTGTATAAATTGATAGAATTATTTTATGGTGTGCTCTAGTTGTAATGGGGGAAACATTCATCCGTTTGATTACTCATCACTGAAAAGATAACGCCGTTTATTTATAACACCGTTATTCCCATCACTGGACAAGAGTTGCTTTGACTGACAGTGAAAGTTAAAGGTGCAGTTTGTAAGAATGACAACTAGTGGTCGAAATAGGTACTGCAGTCGAATTCAAAATATTGGAGATCGTGGTTTCTCTCGCCTCCCTGCTCCTCAGACTGGACTCAGTCCAGTTTGAGCACACGCAACAGGAACGAGCACAATGGACAATGAAAATCAGTAAATTGTCAACGTGCAGTATCACAGACCTAAGCAAAAACATTCCAGCCTGGAAACACACATTTCAAAGTAAAATAACTGAAGTGTTTTCCAGAAAAATTAGTATGTGGACTTAGCATGATTCCTAAATATCTGCAAACACAGAATGGGATTTGTATGCTTTGGTAGAGTGGACCAAAGTTACACACAGCACCATCTGACAGGTGGGACGCTTGCCATTATATTTTTAAAACAATAATATCTTAGAAAAGACCTTAAGTAATATTGACAAACTATATATCATTTGAAAGCTTACAATCTCTAGTTTCCATATTTGGTGACTGATTTTCAAAATAATTTACACAGGAGCTGTAATTTATCAATTTGCAACAAGAATATTTTCATACTCATAAAGCGTGTTCAGACCTTTATTTTGAAATAGCAATGAACATGAAAAATCATGAAAAAAGTTAAAAACCTCAGTTTGATTTCACGCCAAAAGTTTCAAAAGATAGCATCCATTCAATTATTTTAGAAAAAAAGGTTTGAAAATGTTTTAAAAATTACCAAAAAGAAATAACGTGCATGTGTGTTCTTTGTATGTGATTCCTAGAGGTTGAATTCATATAAAAATCTGCAAAACTTTCCATAATAGTTCTGAATAGGATGTCTACTTCATAAATTGTGAGAAATTTGTGAAAATAATGGTTCAGATCACTCAAAACACATATGGAAATGGAGGCGCCCTTATATGGGCTGTAATGGAGTCTGGTTGTGCCCTAGTGAAAAAGTTTGGTACTGCGCCCAAACTAAATCTCACTGAAAGCTCATTTTTTGAGATATCAACCTAAAATTTGAAACACAACTTGATCAGATTTTTGGCTTTGATTTTTCTGCAGTTTTAGAGTAGCCCAGGTTTTGAAAATATATATTTTATATAAAATATGAATAATTATTTTTTTTTACATTGTACATTTCTATAAATTCAAACTTCTATATTTTTTTTTCGGTTTCACTTTCTTCATTTATTTCACTTCGAGAAAAATCTGCCAAATGTCTTCTTTAAAACGAGACCAATCTTACGTCTATATTCCAAAGCATTCTTGAATTACAACCATTTAAGTTTGAAATTAGCATTTCCATGTCTATTCAAAAACGGGGGGTAACAGTTAAGAGGTTAATGATATCTGTCATCTTGAGTGATTTTGTCTGGTCTCTCTTCAGTCTCTGTTGGTTCAGGATCCGCAGTGGGCCGCCCCTCGCCTCCTGCACCTCCCAGACAATTACAACACCATCTTCCAGTTCTACCACAGGAAGTCCTGCACCAGCTGCGGTAAAACCCCCAAAGACCCTGCGCTCTGCCTGGTGTGCGGCGCCTTCGTCTGTCTGAAGGGGCACTGCTGTAAACAGCAGGGCGTGTGTGAGTGTGTGCTGGTGAGTGTGGAGCAAACGCTGAAAGCTCAGTTTGAAAGATCCAAACACTGATGATGCCGATTATAATTATATATATATTTGTTAATCCAAAGCACTCCCAGCACTGCGGAGCAGCGACTGGCATCTTCCTCCTGGTAAACGCCTCGGTCATCATTATCATCCGAGGGCATCGCTTCTGTCTGTGGGGGTCTGTGTATCTGGACGCTCATGGAGAGGAGGACCGAGACCTACGGTAAACCTCTCGCTGCTCTGATGGACAGATATCTAGATTTCATTCTCAGGGTCTCTGAAGCAGGGTCTGAAATTTCATTTCATTTTCCATTAAGGGACAATATCTGGCCCCTGGAATTGATTTCCAGGGGTCTTTTTTTATTAACATATTTATTTTATCTGTGTTGTCTCTCATGTAAAATACTAACATTTAACCAGTTACTTCAATCAAAATACTATAGGCTTCTAAAAAAACAAAATAGGCTAAAATAGGCTGTATACTATAGACTTATTAACATCAACAAAAGCCATCTGAGGTAGCATCTGATATGACATGTTTGTTGTGTTTAACACTGCTCAAAGATGGCATCAATGTACAGTACCTGTCAAAAGTTTGGAAACATTCAAAAAATATGTTTTGTTTTTTTAAAAGACGTATATTTTGCTCACCAAGGCTGCAATTATTTATTCAAAAATATTATTACAAACTAAAATAATTGTTTTCTATTTTCATACGTTTTAATATGCAGCATTACTCCATTCTTCAGTGTCGCATAATCCTTCAGAAATCATTTTATTTTATATTATTCGATCTTTTTTATCATTATTAATGTTGACGACAGTTGTGCTGCTTAATATTTTTCATGGAAGTGGTTATAACCTTTTTCAGGATTCTTAGATGATGGATGGATAAAACATTTTTTAATATTATTATTATTAAAGCATTTTTAAATAGAAATCTTTGAAACATTATAAAGAGTTTTCTCTCACTGTAAATCAATTTAATGCGTCCTTGATGAATAAAAGTGTTTATTTCTATCTTTTTTTTATCTTATAGTTACCACAAATGTTTGAATGGTATCATTGTTTCGACAAAAATGTTAAGCAGAAAAAACATTAATAATAATAATACTAATAAATGTTTCTTATGCATCAAATCAGCATGAATGATTTCTGAACATGAATACTCATGTGACACTGAAGCTGAAAAATCAGCTTTACATCACATAAATAAATACATACTTTTTAATTGAATTAAAAAAGAAAAAAGTTATCTTAAATTGTAATGACATTTCACAGTATTACTTGTTTACGTTTTTTTGATGAAACAAATGCAGCCTTGGTGAACATAAGCGACTTCTTTAAAAAACAAAACAATTGTAATGTTTATAAGGACTTTTGACAAGTACTGTATTTACAGATGTAAATAGCCTACAAGAAGTATTTAAATTATAACGTTAAAATACAGGAACTCATTACAGGATTTGATGACAAAAATCATTAGTGTTTATTATTTTCCTCAATGTTGTAATAATGATTATAAATATGTCAATTAATAGAATACATAAGAAAAAAGTTGCGAAGCGGCACATCATATCCTGTCTAGAAAAACAAAACAAGCTAAGAACTGTTTTTGAATAGTTTATTGCTTTTATGCATTCGAAATCAAAACTTAGCATTGGTTATTTTAGCATCATGAAAAACAAACTGAATAAATTCTCTTCACCTTATTCTTAACGTAAGAGCGGGCACGGCTATTATAACTTAATTGTGCCGATGCTTCCAGTTATTTAAGCTGTACATAAAATATCCGTTATGCTGCTTGATATTGCAAACAATTGTTTATCATATTATTTTAATTTATTATTGTAATCATAAACACACTGTTTTTTAGCGCAAATTGTTTAGCTATTTACTGCATTGTTATTTACTATAGCGGCTAATGAATCGAAAGTACCCACACTATCACAGAAAATAGCTTACTTCTGTATTGCCACATAAGGAAAACACTCAAAAGCAGTCCATGACTTCAGTTTTTCCAGTCTGAAAAATGTGGTGTTCCTCAAAGCTCTGTCCTTGGACCATCTTTGATTGTGTAATATTTTACTTTGGAGAAGGCATCATGTATGCACATGTTAATTATTTGAAAATGCATAAAACTGGATTCTGTACTCTCACATAAATTCTTGTTCACTCAATCACTGAAGCAAAACGAATCTCTTATTTGCATTGTGAATTTTCTCATCATAAACAACAAAGAGTAGATACAGAATGCAGCATTCATTCAGAGGGCATGTGCACTGAACAAAATGAGAATGGCATTTTCAGATGTGATTAATCTGAATGAAATTCATAAGCTCAACAGACACATGTAGTTTGTTATAATGCTGCAAAACGCTGAGTAAAAAACATGGGTAACGCTTCCTTTTACAGTACAGGGTACTTACAGTGTACTTACCTAGAAAGTACTGGCTAATATAAGGTAAGTACATGGAACAGGGGTAGGTTCAGGGTTAGTACTAGTTATTACCCAGTAATTGTAGTTACTATAATAAGTAGGGCTGGGTATTGAGACAAATTTCACAATTCGATTCGATTTCGATTCACAAGCTTGCAATTCGATTCGATTACGATTCGATTTGATTCAATATCGATTATTTTGGATATCAGTTACAATAAATGGCAATTTTTCTCAAGGGAATCAAATCTCTTAACTAATGCTGTAAACTATGGGAGTCTAGTTGTAGCCTACTAGGCTTCATTAGCCTAATATGAAGGTAATAATGAATGAATCACTTAAATTACACTTTTATTTATTTTTATAATAAGAAGATTATATGAAATATAAACATTTAAATGGTGGCTATATATTTAGCAAAATGCTCCTCTCTGTAGTTATTTTTCCTAGCTGACTAACGAGTTGATGTGGGTTTTCTGAGGTAAATATGATTGATACATTGACTACAAGCTGTTTAACTGACGTCTTTCCACGGTTGAAACGCTGATTGAGCGAATCAATGTGACATGATCCGGATTTCGATAAGTTGTACTCTATCTTTAACACACTTTCAGATGCTCATTCATGTTTATTTGGCGCTGTGACTGGTATTATTAACCCGGAAGAGAGATCAGCGCTGCTGCTTCTCCAGAGCGATCTCACGCCACAGCGCCAAAACGCTATTTATGTTTTTGAATTTCTAAAGAAAATGGACGTAATTTGAAAATTGAGACTTTGCTTCATATCAATAGTAACAAAGGACAAAGATTATTGCGATTTTCTTTTTTTTTTTTGATGCGCGCAGCCGCGATACAATATCCCATTCATTCAAATGAAACAGGATGAATAATCGATTCTTGAGACTTAAGAATCGATATCGGTTCGTAAAAATTAGAATCGATTAATATCGAGAAATCGATATTTATTACCCAGCCCTAATAATAAGTACATAGTATTTACATGGGTAACTGGACTGTTAAAGGGATCAGATGGAATGGAATGCCTCAAAGTAAGACAAATTTGTTCAAAACGATTGCTGTAAATACTGTATAAATTTTAATTGTACTGGGGCTTTTTTGCCCCCTTATTTTGAATTTGGGGTGCTTTTTTTATTTTGGTGACATTTTTGCCCCATGCCTCTGTTTATTTTTATTTATTTCTTTTATTTACATTTTTTTTGCATTATGTTCATGTCTTTTGTGAAGAAAACAGTTTACCTTTCCTGCTGTAACCTCCTGATCTCTTCTGTTCTGTAGTCGAGGAAAGCCTCTGTATTTATGTGAGGAGAGGTACCGCGTCCTGGAGCAGCAGTGGGTGTCGCACACCTTCGACCACATCAACAAGCGCTGGGGTCCCCACTACAATGGACTTTAACTGTACAGCCCACATCTTGGAGAGGACAGGTCACATGTTTGTCAGCACAAGCCTCTATGTCATCCTCTGAGGATTTCTGTCCTGTAATTTAATGGAAACCTGCATTGAGTTGGCCACAGCCTGGGTTCATGTGAAGTTTAGTGTACAATCAAGCCTAATGACTAACAGCGTGTGCGTGCTTAAAAGTAATTTTTCGTGTGGATTTATAGGGGAGAATTTTTTTTTTTTTTTTTTTTTTTTTTTTTTTTTGTCCCAGCAAGCTCACAGTAAAATCACATTGAGTGAATCTGTGTCAATCCTGTTAGACGCACAAGTGAAAAAAAAATGCTCCCGTTCTGTAATATTTGGAAAACTAAGATGAGAGATTCTTGGAAAAAGATAAAAAAAAAACTATTCTGACCAACGTTGAAACAAATCATGTACAGATATCAGAATTAATATCAAAACCTTGAATGCTAAAGGTACCAAGACTCTCAACAAATCCCCCCACCACCCCATGACCAGTGCGATGTGTGTGTGTGTGTAGTCATGTCATGCTATTTGAGTTTAAACACATCTCATAAGAATGACAAAATATAAACCGATTAGAGCTAAAGCACGAGTTGTCTCCGAGTCAAGGTGTAGTTGCAGTCATCCTCAGGTATTTTATTTTGTTTGTTTTTGTTTTGTAATCTCAGATAAAAGATTTTAATATTTAAGAAGTGCTGCTATTCATTGTTTAAAAAAAAAAACTAAATTATACATTTGTAAAAACAAAAATATTTTTTACAATTTTCATCTTTTTTTTTTTTTCTTTTTTCTAATGAAGGCTCTGTGTTTGATGGTGGTTGGCTGGTCTGTTGAGTTTATTATATATAAAAGAATTCCCCTGTAACCTTGTACAGCATTTTTTTGGCACATTATATGGCTGGAGACAGGGCAAGTCTTTATGGTCTTTGGCTCTTTCCCTTGCATAAAGGTAATCCTTTACTCACCCAAGGCCTTTTGAAAATAATAAATATTAAAAAAGAAAAAGGTAAAAATGTACTTAAGTCTTTAAATAGTATGCATTATAAAATTATTTAATAAGTATTTTTGTAATGCTTTAATTATGCCTTGTGATGCACCTTATAATACATTGTTTATGGTTGCAATACATTATAATACTTATCTATTCACTGTTACACCGTTAGAAAGTGTAAACACATCCATTAAAACACGACAAACTAATTTCAGATGTAACAATGAATTTGTAAATATTATAATGCATTTTAACTTTGTTTACAATTATTTATTTAAAAAAAACATCAAATCCGTTATAAAGTACATTATAAATACTTTTATAATGCATTGTTCATAAAGACTTCAAGTTTTACCAAAATATTTTTTCTATTAAGAAAATGAAGCTTACGTAGATTATTATTTTTTGCATCATTTTCGCCACATTAACGTAATGCATCTTAATGGTTTTTCTTGTTTCTCGATGGTGTTTTGGCTTTATTGTAAAGAGTGGTCAGATGTGCTTGAATTTGTCAGGAAAATAATGCAATGCAAAAAAAAAAAAATAAGCCTAGTTTTTAATGCAAAATATAATTTATTATTTTTGATTAAGGGTGAAATAGTGACCTGGCTATGTTCTTGGCAAGTTTCTTACCTCACTATAGCCCACAAATCTGACCACACACCCACCAAGTCAATTGTCACTCAAGGTCTTGATTGTCTTTCCCATATTATTCAAATTACATGATAATGCCTAGACTGGTGTCAGATGGTCCACAGGGGGCAGTGTTGTCCAATACACTGAGCTCTGTTTCAATGAGCCTCACACACAACTTTAATGGATGAGATCATGTGGATGCTCAGAGACTTATGTTATGCATCTACAGGCTCAGTGATCAGTTGGTTAAGTTAAGAAAGCTCTTAGTAATCATTTTTCTTGACTGAGTTTTGTAGCAACTGGCTGCCGAAGTCTAAATTCTCCTCCGAATATTGCAGGTTTGTTTTTGTTTTTCTCGTTTAAAGACAATATTTATGTAGTATTGTGATTATTATTTTGATGCACACACCACTCAGATATTGAATTCCTGATCTAAAGTGTTTGAACTTGGCCAGATTGTGTGTATCTCCTTTGTGCAAAAAAAAAAAAAAAAGACCAAATAAATCAAAAAAAGATGTTTTAATGTTATCAAAAAGAAATAGGGTTAAAAAAAAAATTATACAAATAGACATTTAGCGAAGGCTAGTTTTCCCAGCTGATAAATGCGGTGTTCCTCAAAGCTCTGTCCTCGGACCATCTTTGATTGTGTAATCTGTTCATTTGGAAAGGGCGTTGTGTATGCACATGTTAATTATTTGAAAATGCGTTAAACTGGATCACATCAAATGTAATATTACAGCCCAGTCCAGTGATGGACACGTATGGTATGGCACACAGTTTCTTTATTTTAAGCAGCTCCTCTGGTAGCAGGTGATTTAGTTTGAGTACTTCCACTTTTCATCATTTCCCCTTTAAAAATTAAGATCAAAAATTAAGATCACATTAACACAAAATGTTCCCAGTTTAAACCATATAATAATTCGCCTTGTGCGAGTTGTTGAAAGTAATTTCAAGTGCTCTCAATGTGGCGTCACATTCGAATAATAACATCAGTGGAGCCCTTGTGAAAAATATATTTAGAGCAGTTCTAGGGACGTGTAACGTCCAGCTAAATTGAGGGTAATATGCTTGCTTTGTTTCTTACTGAAGACAGTCAAGCACCCCAAAATACCACACACATGTTCAGACACTCGTGTACCAGAAAAAAGCATGTTTGGTTTGTATTGATCGGTTTGATTGGTAGGTGTTGATTATCATTGCTGCAATCATGTCATGCTGGATGGAGGATGTTTTCAGTGCACTTGAAGTTAGCTTCTTTTCATTATTTTGTCATGATTTCTTGCATGCTGCTGTTTTTTTCCCCCCCTTTTGAGAGTTCTTATTTCTCTCCTTCCCCACTTTGTATAGACAGACAGTTGTGCTAAGTGTGATGGGTGGATAATGCTGGTGTGTTCTCCTGCGGTGAGTGCTTGTCAGGCAGGCAGTAATACAGTACATTACTGTAGGTGCTGATTCAGACTTTATGATGTCATCTCTGAAAGGGTGACTTTTAATGACATTTAATGCAAAATGTAACATATGTGAATAAAATATACAGATGCTCTGAAATGTCTTTGTTTTTCTTTTTTGTCAAGCGTTGTAATCCAAAAATGATGTTCGTAATATCCACATATTAACGTTTCTGCTCTCACCACCTGGTTATGCAAAGATTGTTCATATATAGCTACAATGTTAGAATACTCTATTCTGATTGGCTGGAATGTGTGCGTTCAGACATTTTAATGCACTGGTAGTTCCAGATGGTTTAATCACTGTTCTATTTTAAAGGGATTGTTCACCCAAAAATGAAAATTAGCCCATGATTTACTCACCCTGAAGCCATCCTATGACTTTCTTCTTTCAGACGAATGCAATCGAAGTTGTATTAAAAAAAATATCCTGGCTTGAAAATGCCAGTCAAGGCTGTCTGTCTTTGGAAGTACATTAAAGCGCATCTATTCAAGATAAAATTGCTCAATACGGCTCTACGGGGGTTAATAAAGGCCAGTGATGCGCGGGTCAATGTATAAACAACCCGCAACCGACCGACGTTTTTAGCTACCCGCCCGCAACTCGGACCGCAAAAAATAGTAAAAAAATATTGTACCCGACCCGCTTCCTGACCGCATTTTTTTAAATGCTCATCGGAGCGTTATTGGGCCATAGACGTAACAACACAGCATCGCAAGAAGACGTAGGCCTACACATAACAAAGGCAAAGCCAGCACTTTGGTCATCATATTTCATTATTTCAGCAAATTTCTCCCACACTTTTACTCTTTCTATTTGTGTATTTGCGGAGCTTCCACTTCACCTTTTTTTCTTGCCGCCTTCATCTCTCTGCAGACTGTAGACATTGCCGGTTTGTGAACGAATCGTTCTTTTGAACCGGTTCTTTTTAGTGAACCGGTCGAACCAGTACACTAAATCGAACTGAATCGTTCGAAACAGTTCGCGTCTTGCGTCAGTGCTGATCCACAAGTTACTAAAGTTACTCACTTTCAGACATGCCTGACAGTCGCCTACGAATCGAAATAAATCAATATCCTGAATTATATTTTACTCCAGTAACTCCAACAGTTCACTGAACCGAGACATGTTGGTGCCACTGTTGAGAGAAGGGATGAGCACGAGCAGCTGATACTATACCGACCGCACAGGGACAGCGGTTCTCGAATCATAGAACCGAGAACTGTTTAGACTGAGCTTGTGTGTTATCTTCGTGCCAGTTTTTCAGCCAATAATGTGCAGGACTGTATATTTCATCAAAATAGTGTCTAGTACTATATTAATACAAATGTTTAATTGGCATCTTTTTTCAAACGACCCGACCGACCGCGACCCGAATATCATTAAAAACATTTTTGGATGACCCGTAACTGCGGGTAACCGCGGGTGACCGCAGGCACCCGCTCATTTCGGATCAACCCGCGCATCACTGATAAAGGCCTTCTGAAGTGAAGTGTTTGTGCAACATGACATCATGACTTTTGCGTAAACATATACGCCACTTTCGAGTCAGGTGGCGTGTTATCTACGCATTTTGAGCTATCCGCGTGTATGCGTGTCTACGCCATTAACGTCCGCGTCATTCCGCGTGTCAGTACACGCAGTCAAATCTCCAGTCATAAATGCCCTAACCTAACCGTCACTGGGGTTAATGGCATTTATGACTGTTCCCTTACCATCCTAGGTAAAAAAAAAAAGATATGACTTACCTCAACCCCATCCCTAAACTTAACCGTCACTGGGGTTAATGGCATTTATGACTGGAGATTTGACTGTGTGTTCGGACACGCGGAATGACGCGGACGTTAATGGCGTAGACATGTACGCATACACGCGGATAGCTCAAAATGTGTGGAGATAACACGCCACCTGACTC